GTCAACCTGTGGGTCGGGACCCCATTTGGGGTCAAACGACCATTTCATGGGGGTCGCCAAACAACGCAGTCCGCCATTTTTCCCCCCTTTTCCGTAGCTGTGCTACTCCCTTTTATTCTATTGGCTTTTGAAAGGCAATAGAATAGACTCTCTTCTGCAAACAGTGCTGCACCAGTTGAGTAGTCCTTGACTTACGACCGGTTGGGGGTCACGGCATTAAAAAGGTTGAGAACCACTGAGTTAGAGCATTGTTTCATTATGGAAGGAACAGCCCTTGAACACACCAGAAGAATTTCTAAGAAAAGGTGGCAGGAAGCTGGAAGTTAGGCTAGTCTCTCCAATGCTCCAATCCAGACTGTGAAATTTGGCCCGATGGAACAAAATCAATTTGGAATATTTCACGGGGCATTTCACTCTTGTAATATAAATTCATCAACATTCTGGCAATATGTGAAAGACATTTGCTGCATCATGGGCAGCTTTTCATACCTCTGTGTTAGAGTTAGAAAGAGAAAAATTACATCTTGTTTCATGTTTTCATCAATTAATCCTCTACTGTTGGAGAAGCTAAAATTTGGAATAGTCATCTTACTATAGCTGTCATGAGCAAATGCCCCAAGGTAATGCTTTAAATTTGAAGCAAAATTTTGACCTTTTTTTTGACAAAAGCTGTAGCTTGTGGAGTGTAGCATGTCTTTACAGGCTATGATGTGGATGTGTGCAATAGGGGAATGGAAGAAATAAAAACAGGCTTCATATCAATTAATCTGAGTAAGCTGTTCAGGCAAGATCATAATAAAAGTAGTCCTCAATGGAGCCCCACATTTTTATTGATAAGTAAGACATTTGTTATGTGAGTTTTGTCCCATTTTACGACCTTTTCTGCCACATTTGTTAAGTGAATCACTGCAACTGTTTTAAGTTAGTAACCCAGTTGTTAAGTGAATCTGGCTTCCCCATTGACTTTGCTTGTCAGAAGATCACAAAAGGGGAGGGTCACATGATCTTTGAGCACTGCAACAATCATAAATAAGGGTTAGTTGCCAAGCATCTGAATTTTGATCACATGGGGATGCTGCATCAGTTATAAGTGTGAAAAATGGTCATAAATCATTTTCAGTGCTGTTGTAATTTTGAACGGTCACTAAATGTTCTGTTGTAAGTTGAGGACTACCTGTATATACACCCATTATTATTTTTTGGGATGTTTACACTCTCCTATAGGTCTTTGAATTTTAACTCACCTTTGCTTACTGCCATGTAATTTATATCTGCCACATCCAAAAACTAGAAAGTGAAAATTATTATTTATTACATTTTTATACCCATCTCCCTTATACTGTGACTCTGGGCAGTTTGTCTCAGTAAGTTTTTTTTTTAATTATGAGACTACTAGAAACAAACAATACTGTTAATATTTGTAGGCCACATAGGAATGTTAACATTTTGAGTATTATGGGGGCCTTCACAAAATGACTGCCGTGATGAGTGTGGCCAGTGCTTTTTTTGTCATAGAACTCACCGGAACGGAGTTCCGGCACCTTTTTTTGACGGATTTTCCAAGTTTTAAAAGTAACTTTTGAAAATTTGATGTTTGGTCCATGTGAACTTGAATCGCCCTGTCGAGCAAAGCAGGTCGGTGGCAAAATTATTAAAACAGCACATGTGGGTTGCTTGTGTGTCGAGTCCAGTGCATGTGTACTTCATCCGGCTGCTCGGCTTGTGGCACTGCTCAGCTTGTGATTGGTCATGTGGTCACATGCTGAGTGCTTACTGTGGGCGGTGACCATTATATTTTGTTAGACAACTAATGTGTGTGGGTGTGTGTACAGTGATTGACTATGTATGAAAGGTAAATAAAAGATGAACAAGATTTGAGTTCCGGCATCTTTTTTCTTACAAAAAAAGCACTGGGTGTGGCCCATCACAACACATCCACTTCAGAACAATGGTTGATGCTGAAAGATGGTATTTTCTTGCCAGAGATTTGGAATCCAGAAAAAAAAACAAATAAACTTTAATTCAATTAAAAATTCAATTCTCATACTTTATATGCCAGAGACAACATTTTTGTTCAGACATTATCCACAGGCAGTAAACTCTAATTGTTTTTAAGAAGTCTGGACAATTGAGATTGTTTACATCATTTGTATCTATTTATATCATTTGTACAGTGATATAACTCAACTTATCTAAATGACAAACTGAGGCAAATGATTACCACTCAAAGCCATTTGGAACAACACCGCATGAAAATATCAATGACACATAGATGATTTTAATTGACTAAATGAAATAATTGTTATAGTTAACAATTCACTTCACTTCCAAATCTATGTAAAACTGGCAAAAACCAAACTTCAGCGCACACACTATTTTTCTGTACTTCTTTTTCAGGATTATCATCTCACAAATACAATATTCTGTTTTCTACCTCACACTCCAGAGTTTGTTCCTCTTCCATTTATGCAGCGTCTCCCTTTTCCCATTCATTTTCATTTTCTAACTTACCACACAGGCTTCCCCAATCCTTTCTGTTGCTTTTTGTAGCTCTTGTCAGCCTAAAGGCCAATTACCTTCTTCTCCACTGACCACTTTTTTCCAAACCCAGCTGCAATTTCCTTTCTTGGGCTCCCTTTTGCTCCTCTCTTGAGTACTGTTCCTCCCCACACCTTTTTCTCATTATCCCAGACCATTTCCAGCTGCTAGCTGGTTCATTTACATTACTGCCTGCAGGCTTCTCCCTTCTGGACCAGAGCATTTGAAAACCCAGGCCTAGCTTCTTATATCTTGCCACCTTTGGGAATTTCCTTTGGATTATGGCTACCGCAGGTTGTGTACTCAAGGGTGGCCCTTCCATACAGATACTCCTCGACATACAACAGTTCATTTAGTGACTGTTTGAAGTGACAATGGTATTGAAAAAAGTGACTTATACCATTTTTCACACGGCCATTGCAGCAGTGCCCCTTGGTCACATGATCAAAATTCAAATACTTGGCAACCGATTCATATTTATGACGGTAGCAATGTCCCGGGGTCATATGATCATCTTTTACAAATTTCTGAGGAGCAAAGTCAATGGGGAAGCCAGATTCACTTAACAACCATATTACTAACTTGACAACTGCAGCGATTCCCTTAATAACTGTGACAAGAATGGTCGTAAAATGGGGCAAAATTTACTTCACTGTCTGGATTAGCAACAGAAATTTTGGGCTCAGCTGTGGTTGTAAGTTGAGGACTACCTGTAATGTAGCCACTGAACTTTGTGCAGCAGGTCAGATGGATGGCACAGCACAATTCAGGACGTTACATGGGCACATGATGGATGCACCCCATCCTAAACTCTTTGTTTTCTATTGCTGTGTGAGTTACAGAGCTCTGTCTTGTTGTAACCCTTTCCAAGAGTGCTGCACTCTCCACTATTCAGTGTAGCCTTGCTGACTCTGTTTTACTCATCCTTTCCTAGGTCTCCGTTATTTTCCCCTCAATAATTGATCGGCTGCTGAGAAGGCTGTCTGCACCACATGCTCTTTCATTTTTTTTTTAACCCTAAAGGTTTCATGAGTTTTGGCAAACAATGGCATTTCGCTGGCTAATAATTCCATTTCTTATATTCATGAGTGCTAATTTGTCTGCACAATGTTCCTGACTTGCTGAACAGGTTTGCTGTTGAGTATATGGGATTTGTACTTTTAACGCAAACTAACTTGTGCTTTAATAGTTGTACAATACTTAGGGATTAAAGGAACCCAGATAGAAACCAGGAAACTAAGTTCTAGTCATGCCTTGGGCATAAAGCCAGCTGGGTGATTTTGGGCCTGCCACTCATTCTCAACCAGAGGAGAAAGCTGACAATGGTAAATCATTTCTGAAAATCTTGAGAAAATTGCAGGGATTCGTCCATGCAATTAGCAGGAATCAGGTGCACACACACACAAAATACTGTACTGCTACTTGGGACACACCTGTTGCCCCAAGAGCAATTAATGTTAACCAGTCATCCACCTTTTTGGTAGGCTGGTTATGTTAGTCTTGTGCTGCAGTTTTCAGGCTCTAATAACCAGCAATGCCTGGGCCTGTACAAAATGGCTCAGGATCAACAAGGCGTTTTTTCTCCACGGAAACATAGCGATTCATCTTGTCCTTTCAAATCCTGGTGGTGACTTGTGTCTGCTCTACAAGATGCTCTGGGTCACATCAAGGCTCTGGTTTGGCAGGTTCGGTAGCTGAGGCAAGCACAAGAGCATTTTTGAACTACTAAAACCACCACTGAAGGAATGTCCAGTGAAGCAACTTGGCTGCTTCACTTTTGAATGGGGATGGGGGTCACTCTTGTTCACAAAGCAAGTTTTATGGTCGAGCTTCTGGAAGCATCTTGGACTGCAAGTGGTTAATCCCAAGAACAAGTCTCTTTCTCCTGTCTCTCTGATAAGCAAGATTTATGAAGAAGAAAGTTAAAGGAACAAAACATGAATTCCAGCAAACATTCTATAGTATTTTCAAATGAGAAACATATACATATGGGCAAATTCTTGGATTCTCCTAGTGTAGGGGTCCCCAACCCTTGTGTGGCCCACAGCCCATTTGGAACTGGGACGCGTGAGTAGCTCAACTTGTGCAAGCGGCAGCTGGCACAGCTTGAGTTGTGCGAGTGGTGGGCCAATTTGCCTCCCTCCCCGGCCACCAAGCCATAAAAGTTGAGGACCAGTGTCCTAGTGTAAATAAGAGAAGCTTGGGGTTTTTTTGTGAAGAGGGGGCAGACTGCATAGGTTGATTATTTTGGGAACAGCTATGGACTTTTTACTCCAGAGATGCCCAGATCTTACACTTTGAAGGTTGCTTCAAAGCACTCCTGTGAAGCTTTGTTCAGTTCTAACAGCAGCCGCAGCTAAGAGGGAGGATTAGAAAGATTCAGGACTTTTTCCCATGCTACCAAATAAGCTTTTTATCCCAGTACCAGAAAGTAGCTACCCAAAGAAGAAACACAAATAAGATTACAGGTACTAAACGGGGTGCAACTTTATTTACAATGTAAAGTGCATCACATAGAAATTGTTGAAACACAAGACAAGTGATAACATAAATTACAATATATTTTATGTGTTTAAACCGTAATTTAAAAAAGCAGTGATGATTCTTCTACGGATGTAATAAGAATAACAACCTAATTTTGACTCTCCGGCTTTTTCCTTTCAGGCATCACACTTCCTGCCAGCAGAGCTACATCTGGTGGATCTTTTTAGGTCAGATTTTGCACCTTCTATATTAATCCAAATAAACTGAAAAATGTGTGAACTGCTAGTACTGAAAATAAGCAATATGGTTTCATTATTGTACATTATCTTCTATCATTTGCCAGACAGAAATATTTTGGCTCAAAGTACAGCCACTCATACACACTTGTGTATGAATAAGTAGGAAAAGAAGGAATCTTGCAAAGAAAAAGATACCACAGTAATGATTAATTTATTTTAGAGCTCTTTCCCCATTTTATGAAGATTGTCTTATAGCTGAAATCTTATACATAGTTAACTCAGGATCTGGCCCCCTGGGAGTAGGCCTGGTGAAATGGATTTCCTAGAATGGACTGCATTTATTACAAAGTAATGTAGAATTGGAAACCTCTTAAAGCTCATTAGGAAGGTAATCTAGCTACTGAAAATGTTATTGCTATATTTTCTGGAAGAGCTTGAATAAAGCTTGAATAAGATAAAATGTATTTCAGTTTTAGTAATAGATGCCCTTAGAATGAGTGGAAAAAAAACATCCCAATTTCTTATAAGAAAAAATATTGATGGGTTTATTTACTAACTGCTGCTTTGCTAACAAGCAAATTGCAGTCTCTCAGAGGTTTTGCTTTCTGGTTAAAACTATCATTTCAATTTCCCCTTTCCTTTTAATTTGGAAAATGCTTAGGAGAAAAAAAAGTTAGGTCTGCTTATTCCTTCTAAATGACTAAAAATCCTTTGCAAGAACTTGAATGTAAAATTATAAACATATGCAAGCATGCCCAAGAAAGGAAAAAAACGGATAAATAGCGTCACCATACAAGCTACAATTATTCATTTCTATACTGTAATGCAGCTTCCCCAAGAAATTTGGAAGTGGAATTACAGTGTTGAATCTACACATTGGGCTAGCCCCACTCCACAAAACAAATTATACTGGGGTGGGATAGTATTTATAAATATATATGGTATACTACAGATATGAATTAATCCCGTTTTCTTTATCTGTAAAGATCTGCAGATGTTTCAGTTTGTAAATTTGTAAAATAATAGAAAAATGTGCAATCTGAACAATTTAAGTATGAATTGTGGCTCCCCAAAACTCAGTTATGTGCAAACTGCTGTTTCTATTTCCCTATCGTTCAAACCACAAAACCCCCACAGCATTTGACATATGTCTTTCACTGGAGGCTAGTTATCTTTGCTTTAAAATGTTCATATTTATTTTTTACATTGTGTACTGTAGTAGCTAGTTGTTATACTCTGGGTTTTTAAGCCAAGCAGAGTTGGGCATGGCTAGTACTTGGATAGGAGAACATCTAAAAATGTCAAGTCTCTAACAAAATCCCCAAAGGCAATTGCAAACCACCTCCACGCTGTTGTGAAGAAAAAATTATGTTGATGCAACCCTTAAGAGATGGATTGCAAATTCGGAGTGTCTTGTGTCTATCAGCAAGAGACCTCTATGCTGAATAAAAATAAATGAGTAAGTGCACGAAAGCAAATAATGCAATACAAGGGGAGAAAAAAAAAGAGAGGAAAAAGACATTCTTTTTTCAAACCTATTATTTCAGACACTGTCATTATCAAACCTATTAGGAAACCTTCCTCCCCAAAAATTAGTCATGCTATTCCCAGACACACATTTAATGTTATGTCCACCCTTTAGTTTTTGCTTATGGAAAGAGTAACTTTCAACCTGATCTGAAGCCCAAAATAAAATAGTTATAATTGAACAGGGAAAGATAAAGAGTATTGCTCTGAAAATATAAGGTTCCATTTATGAAAAAAGGGCTAATATAGATGCATCCATTGTAATATGAATGTACTGTCTTACAGGAAGGTAATGCAGTAAGGAAAGTAAGGGATTTACTTAAGAGGACAAAACACATTAGTTCTCCTTCCTACTTTTCACTTTATCAGCAAGTAAATTATTCTGGTGGATATCTCTGGATATAATTATTACAGTACTTAACCACAGCCTTTTTGTATTACTCTAGAATACCATGCTGTCTTTTCAGTTGGGTCTCAGCAGTTCTTTTCCTGAGAAATAAGTATGTTGAGGAATGTTATTTTAAAAACTTCTTATATTTTAAATCCAGGGTAAAGAACTACTACTTATTAATTTCAGTGGAAATTGGAAGCTATTTGTCCTGTTTTGACAAATGTTGCATTCTGGCAAATAATATTACAAAATCTGATTTTCACTTTTTTTTTCATGGGAAAGACAACTACCGTTTTACTTATTTTGAACTAAGTGGTAATCACAAACGAAGGCAAATATATGTGTCCTAGGATAATGATGCAAAGTTGAATCTGAATCGGTCACCAGGACCAGAGATTTACTCTTCCGAGCTTTCAGACTCATGCTGGAACCCATCATCAGGGAACTTCTTTCTACTGGAATACATGCTTTGGTCTGTTCTGTGAGATGTGCTTATGTGGTGCCTTCCTATTGGCCGATTGCTGGCTAGCAATTGGCTGTTGTTTCCTTCTGCTACCAAAGAGTTCAGGTCTCCTTGTCTGTCTATGACTGGTAAGTGATAATCATTCACCAAATCCACATATATTTTAAATATGTATCCATGATAAAATAACAAGTACTTTACCAGTAAACTTGATTTTAGCAGCCAGAAACACAATTTTATAGACAGCTGAGTCTCTACTGACATATCTCCTCCCTTCCCCATTCTTTTTCCTTCAGATAGTCCACTCACTGGCCTACATAGAAGAAAACATGGATTGTGCCTCTAATTTATTATTATTTCTATCAAATCTGAAATAATTCCGTATTGGCAGCTCTCCTTTAAGCAACAGTTTTCCATGACATGGAAACATATCTGAAGTATTTTCTTAGCATGAGTGGTGGGGTTGTTGGCCTTCATATATTTATTTTGAAAATAGAATATTCTTATTTACCAAGTTCAAACCATTTGGAATGCTGTAAGCACCAGTGGGATGCTCGGGGCAGCACTAGCGCTGGTGGGACGCTTGGGGTTGGGGCGGCATTGGAACTGGCGGGATGCTTGGGGCGGGGCTTGGGGCGGGGTGGTGCTAGTAATGAGTGGGATGCTCGGGGAGGTGCTAACGCAAGTGTGGGTACACTGGCCATCCCTTCACACGGCCCGGTGGCCAAGCAGCCGGGGCCCGATAGTGGGCCAGGGCCCACAGGTTGGGGATCCCTGCTGTAAGCTTCAGATTCCAATTTGTTCCATCAAACAACAGTAACTAAATATTGTCCATCTTGCAACTACTATAATGAAATAGACAAATGGTTTGCAGGAGGTATCTTAGACCAAAACCAGATCTAACAGGGTAATCATTTATTATTCATCTCATTTACTTATAAAGGTATCGGGTATGTTAGCATATAAAAAGATCAGGATGGAGAGACTGAATTTTCCCCTTTTCCATGTCTTACCTTTCCTCTCTCTATTTCTGAACTACTTTCCATAGTGGATCCAATAACAGAGAAGAGACCAAGTAGAAGAAGATTTGATCATAGTTCTTAGTCTAATGTATTCACTTACATTTTCACTTATGTTACATCACTTACATGAGGTGGCAGGGGAAAAGGAAATATGAATCAAATTAAGTTTCATCCCCAATGCAAGCATCTTTTTTGGCGATGGAACACAACTTAGACTAGAGTTTTGCACCCATAATATGAAAGACTGTAAAGTTTTTTTCTTTCAGTGAACAAAATTTGTACATTTGTGTGTTTGACAGCAGCAACATTTTAGCATGTATCTTTCTGCAAGAGAAAAAAAACATAAAGATGCTTCCATTCAAAATTAAATGGTTAAGAAAAATATAATAATAATAATAATAAATTCAAAAGTTTTTTTTTAAAAAATCCACTATATTTGATTTTACAGTGACTGTAGTACCAAAGTCCATTGGACTGGAATCAGACTCTTCATAGCTTTTGCTCTTAAATTAAAAGTGGTGGAATCCAGATTTCCGTTTCCTAGGTTAGTAGACAGCAAAGAAAAGGAGAAAAAAGAGTCCATTATTCTTGGCAGTTTGTGAAATACAAAGAGAAATCTGTGTTGGCTGCATACGGTATATCACAACCTGTGTGAAGAAACCCAAATCGAAATAGGAACTCCCAAACATGCTTTTCCAAAAGGCAACTGGACTTTCTTGGTTTTTTTCCTTGAAAACATTTTACTTCTCATCCAAGAAGCTTCTTCAATTTTCAGATCAGTTCATTTCTTCAGAACTGAAGAAGCTTCTTGGATGAGAAGCAAAACGTTTTCAAGAAAAAAGCCAAGAAAGTCCAGTTGCCTTTTGGAAAAGCACCTTTGGGATAATCATGATCTGGATCAGGGCTTTTCAACCAGTGGTACAGGTACCACCTGTGGTACATTGGCACCTGGCAGGTGGTACGCGACCATCTTAGAAAAGTGTAGCGGGGGAGGGAAACGAGCTGAACTGGTGGCAGCACCGCACAAGCCTAAGTGAAAGATGGCTGGAGCTGCAGGGCTGTCAGGGCTCAACAGAAGTGCCAGGATCAGCGCCAGGCTCCAGCTGATTGGCGTTTCTTCGGGGCTGTCAGGGCTCAGTGGAAGCACCAAGATCAGCGCCAGGCTCCAGCTGGAGCTCTGCGCTGATCCTGGTGCTTCTGCTGAGCCCTGAAGAAGCACCAATCAGCTGGAAAGCAGCACTGATCCTGGCGCTTCTGCTGAGCCCAGAAGAAGCGCCGATCAGCTGGAATGTTGCAGCCTCTCCAGGGTCTTGTGATTTACATTCAGATGCTTGGCAACTGATTCATATTTATGACGGTCACAGAGTCCCAGGGTCATGTGTAGTGACCAAAACCTGCTGCAGCCACCAGGCAGGCAGAGGGAATAAAAACCAAACATCCCCCACCCCACCCTTGTACCAATCCTCAACAGAAATGCTCACAACAATGAAAACCTCAGACAGGAGGAAGAGCGTGGCCGGGCAGGCAGGCAGGTGTCTTGCTCGGTTCTGCCTTGGGGGGCACTTTTTTCAGTGCCATTGTTAACTTTGAACAGTCACTAAGCGAACTGTTGTAAGTCGAGGACTACCTGCACTTTATCACTTTTTTCCTTTTTTTTGTCATCAAGTTTTTGACACCTTGCTAGGCGACTGGTGGTACTCAGATATTGCCATATCCTAAAAGTGGTACAATGGGTGAAAAGGTTGAAAAGCCCTGACCTGGATGATTGAGGATGTCCATAGACAGAAAGAGGAGCTGTGAACACAGTTCCTTATTTTAAGGGAAAATCTCTTTCCACCAAGCTGCAGCCCAGCACATTCTTAATCAGTTCCAACAGATGTTCTGTTCAAAGTGAATATTGAATGGAGCAGAGGTCTGGCTTTAGTTAAATTGGTGTGGGACTAGCATGGCCTAATTTTTGGAATTAATATTGTGGGTAAATTGTAAATTAATTAATAACATGGGTAAATTGTAAATGTAAATTGGAGTGAGACTAGCACGGCCTAATGTTTGGAATTAATAACATGGGTTGAAATAAGCTACCACCAACAATTCAGGAAAATATTTTGAATTAGACTACTCTTTGTCTTGGTTTCAAGGCTTTCTTCAAGCCAACAGATGGTCTGGAGCTGATAGCCATAACTTTATAAACAGTCAGGTCTCCTGTATGTTTTACTGCTAACTAACTAACAATTAATCAGTGGAACAACTTGCCTCCAGAAGTTGTGAATGCTCCAACACTGGAAGTTTAAAAAAAAAGACTGGACAACTGTTTGTCTGAAATGGTATAGGGTTTTCTGCCTGAGCAGGGGGTTGGACTAGATGATCTCCAAAGTCCCTTCCAACTCTGTTCTATTCTGTTCTGTTCTGTCCTCTCCTGTACTATTCTGGGATAACGCTCAAGTGGGAAATTGCAAGCTAACCTGCAAGACTGATTGAAAGACACTAAAAAAAAATGTGTGAGTTAACAAAAATTCCTGGTAGGTTAAATATCTCACAAGAAAATGGCAAGTATACCTAGAGCAGTCGTGTCCAGTCCATGGTGAAGTACAATGGCATCGGTTTGGTCGTATACATTTCCCACCATTTAAGCATGGAGAGTGACAAACAGCTGCATTGAAAGATCACAGAGACACATTACCATTTTAGCACAATTAGGGTATGATCAAATTTTATATACTATATATATATTACTATAGTACCTACTAATACTGAAATAGCATAGCTCTTTGTGTTCACCCAATGAGCCAAAACAGCAAAAGGCACTACTAAATGCTGTACAGTACATAAAGTATTTAAGCAATTCATTTGAAGGAAGATATACATACAAGATGAACAGAGTACAGATATGTTTTCATATGCAAATCAAGATTGAAGAATATGAAGGATGTTTAAAAAAAATAGAAAAAGATGTCATGCTGTCTTTACTGAACAAAATTACCTTTGCAGAAATTGAACTTAGCTACGTACTTTTTAAAGATTCTAATTCTTCATAACTTTCCATTTTAAAATCCCTTGTATTTGCCTTTCAAATATCTCGGAGAAACAATGTGAAAACACGTATGTTCTTTCAAATACAAATGCAAAATAAATATTGTGGGCACACATGGAATTTTTTCAGACAGATAGTATTACTTGGCTTTACAAATAGAAAAGGTTACACATGCAGTAAAATGGTGTCTACATGACAGCCTTGTACTACAGTATTAAGTGCCTTTTTTTGTCCAACTACCATGTTTTCTGAAAGTAAGACTCAGCCCGATAGTAAACTCTAGCTTGATTTTAGGGGGTGGGCCTAATATAAGCCCTACCCCAAAACTAAGACCTCGTTTTGAGGTGAGGTGCACCCTAAAAAATCAAGCTAGGGGGGACCAGGGGGGGTGAAGCTAGCCTACGTGCCCAGCACTCACCCGTAGGACTACCACAGCCAGGCCTCCCACACCCCGACACCTGTCAGGCTGCTGTTTGACTTCTGCAGCTGCTTGCCACAACTTGCGGCTGGACGCCATATGGCGCATTGCGGCTGGACGCCATATGCCGCTGCTTGTGGCAGGATGCTACATGGTGCTTCGGGCCATTTCTGCTGCTAGCGGCAAGAAGCTGCACAGTGCTTTGGGCTGCTTCTGCTTCTTGCACACTTTGGACTGCTTCTGCTGCTTGCGGCAGGGGGCCACAAGGTGCTTCAGGCCTTTTCTGCTGTGCGAGCAGCAGAAGCGGCCTAAAGCGGTGCATGAGCAGCAGCCCGAAGCGCCATGCGAGCAGCAGAAGCAGCCCAAAGCGCCATGCAGCATCCTGCAAGCAGCGGCAATGGCGCAATGCACACATGGCATCCAGACGCAAGTGGCAGCAAGCGGCTGCAGAAGTCAAGCAGCATCACGACAGGTGTCTGGGTGTAGGAGACCTGGCTGTGGTGGTCCTAATGTAAGACACCCTCCGAAAATAAGACCTCTTTTGGAGGCAAAAATATATAAGACTGGGTCTTATTTTCGAGGAAAAACGGTAGTTAGGACTGAAAGTATTTCTGAATAGCTCCTACATGAAAAATGTATGTTGCTTGGCCTGTTTGGCTAGGGAGATATCCCTGTGAGTGGTTTGTGAATATAATCACATTTTGTACAGAGAGCTTATTAAGAGAAAGGTTTAAAACTTTCTCCTAAACCACTGATTTCAAAGAATCGCCTGCCTTACAACATGTAATGCTTGAAAACCAGAACAATGTATGATAATTCTTTCTTCCAACTTCTAAATACAAAGGTAGCAAAGACACGCATTTCCAGAACAGATATGTAAAGATACTGTATTTCCCCAAAAGTAAAAACCTACCCTGAAAATAAGCCCTAGCTTGATTTTTTGGGGTGCGCCTAATATAAGCCCTACCCCCAAAATAAGCCCTAGGTTTGGGGTGAGGTGAACGCCTAAAAATCAAGCTAGGGCGGCCATGGGGGGAGGTGGAGCTGCCCCACGCGCCTTGCACCCGCTTACCGTTGCAGCTAGGCCTCTCATGAATCGACACCTGCCTCGCCGGCCCACTTCTTCTGTGGCCGAAGGAAATGCTTCTGCAGCTGTGCAGCTCTGCAATCTGTAGCTCGGTTCTCAGCTGCAGAGGCCATTCCGGAAGGCCTCTGATGGCAAAATGCAGACTGGAGCTCCATTCTCAGCTGTAAAGGCATTTCCTTCAGCCGCAGAAGAAGTGGGCTGGTTGGGCAGGGCTGTCAGTGCCACCGCCGCAAGGTGAGACCATGGAAAAGATACCCTCCTGAAAATAAGACCTGGTGCCTCTTTTGGAGGCAAAATAATAATAATAATAATAAGACCGGGTCTTATTTTCGGGGAAACACGGTAAAAAGGTAGTCCTCATTCAGAGATCTCAATTGGGTCCAGTAATTTGGTCATTAAGTGAATGGTTGCTAGGTGAAATTACAGCTGTATTTTTGATCTTACTTCTGCTTTCCTTTGATTGACAAGCTCGCAAAGGTCTTAAATTGAGGAGTGCTCACAAAGGGTTTTTTTTCCTCCATCATTGTAACTGCAAACATCGCTAAATGAGGACTATTTGTACTGACTGGTTCTTTTTGCTGGGTTTTTTTTTTCAGAACTCACTGGTTAAGCTGCTTTGTACTAAAGTGCTATTGGGAGGTTGTAGGAAATTCTGAATTAAATGTGCTTACCCTGATGGCAGCGTGAGCCAGTCCATCCAGTTGGGCAATCACATTGATAAGGAGCCACGCATTGACCTCCATTCAGACAATGCAGGATGCAGATGGCTGAACAGAAAAAAAAGGGGGGGAGTGGGAATGGGAAGAAGAAAAAAAGTTTCATTCAAATAAACAACCCTGGTTCTATTTCTCACAAAACTAGAACAATTATGCCCCCCCCCCGAATCACCTTCCAAAGGCTTAGCCATATTGGTTTTCATTAAAAATATCATAAAGAGCCTCCTATCATCCTAAAAATTGATCTATTTATTGTAAAATATAATAAATTTGTTGGTCTTTGACATACTACAATAATTTTCATATTTATCATGCATAGCATTTACTGTAATCTTCCCTCTATCGTCATTCTAAGTATATAAAACATTCACAATTTGCACTTCAAACAGACTAATCTTGTCTTCTAATTATTAAGGTGTAACTGTTAGTGTGCCATACATAGAATTCTTGAAATTTCTGATCATTCCAGAGTAGATTTTAGGTACAAGTGGCACAAAAGAAAAAGAAATTAAGAAAAAAGGCTTTTTGATTTCAGTCAATGAAGTATTCTTTTAGTAAATCACATTCACAGAAACTCAGTATTCAAAGCGTAAATCTTCACATTTTTTATTAGAATAATACCCCGATTTCTGTTTGTTAACAACGTATTTCTTCTTCATTCTATTTTTAAAGCAACACCCTTCAAAATGGAAGTCAAAACACATCCTGCTTCTGTAAATGATAAATTAGAGTTTTTTGTGTGGGTGAGAAAGAAAGTACAGCCTGGCTATAATAGATACTAAGTTTATAAATAAATCTCTGGTTTTCTATACCACAATGATTACTTTCATAAACATTTCAATCAAGTTCTACAAATTTTCAGATTACTCATCAATATGCTGTCGTTTTGGAACATATAAGCTTTAAAAATTAGATTACCGAGAGGTTCCTGACCACAGTGATTGGAAAGCAGTCTGTTTTAAAATTTGTATAATCAATATCTAATTAACATGAGTAACCTTGAGTTTCAAGTTAAGTCTATTAATATAAATAATGTTTTCCTTAAAGTTCACCCTATTTTCCTTCTTCTAGTGAATTCTGCCAATAAGACATTTCATTATTCTGGATAAAAGACAACATGACATACTGCATTTCTAATATATGACTAACACAACCCTTAAAGATAATAATAAAAATAAATAACAATGAGGAACCTGTCATTTCCCTTTGCTTTTGTAGCTGAAATTCTTAGTGCATGCTAGCAGGTCTCCCTCTGAAGTGTAAATTCAGGCTTACATTTTTCAACCCCCTTACATTTGTGTATAATCAGTTCAGCTGGCTATAAAAATACTAACAAATGAGTATAACGTGAAGCAGATGCTCCTTCCATCTTTATGTTATTGTCTATTTCAGTTGAACATGGTCATAGCAGGAGGTGGAAGAATGTTTTTGACTGTATGTTTTGGACTACCATATTGCATACAATCTCCAAATCAAATTTCTGATGACCACAAACAATAGTAAAGAGGTCAGAACTGAAGAAGCTTCTTGGCTCAGAAGCAAAATGTCTTCAAGGAAAAACAAAGAAAGTCCAGTTGCTTTTTGAAAAAGTACCTTTGGCAACCATGATCTAGATGATTGAGAATCTCCATAGAAAATAGTAAAGAAGGATTTTTTTCAATATCTCTGCGGCCACTTAGTGATCTTTTGGATATCTGCAGCCTGGTAATGTGTATATGCATATTTCTGGAGCAGCATATGTTATGTTAGCACAGTTCATGCCCCATTGTGAAACAGATTTACACAGCAGCATTTCTTAAACTCTGTGCCTGGATCTTATAATTGTTTCATTTTTGCTTTGCATGCATCTTAGAGATTCCTAGCTTCGCATCAGTAGAGTAAAACTCAGCAGTGGCCCCAGAATAACAGCTTCTTGGATGAGAAGTGAATCTTCTTCTTTCTCAAAGAAAAAAAAAACAGTCCAGTTTCCTTTGGAAAGGGCAACTTTGAGACAACTGCTGAATGACTGATAATCTTCCATAGACATTCAATAGAGGATAATTGAACAGGCTGTTGCAGGAATGCCAGCAGGATTGGCTGTATTTCACTTAAAAAGCCTCTAAATTAAAAATTCTTCAGAGTCAAGTTTGATTCTTAGTTATTACATGCAATATTTGTAGCCAAAATAGGAAAGAGGCTTGCTTTAGCTTCTTCCGCTTGTTTTTACTAGACTGATCTAGCTTAAAGCTGTAAGGTTTCTTCAGAAGTTCTCAAACAGACCTGTATTATTCCTTTTCCTAAACAAAATTCCTAACAAAATAGCGAAGCACATGTTTTTGTAGTTATGAATCCCTGTTCAGGTGTTCCTACTCATGCAACTTGTCCAAAATGCATCTATTATATTCAAGATTTAAAATACAATCAAACACAGCCAAAGTATATGACCTAAACTTGTAGAGAAAAGATAATTTTCACACCATTTTCCTTAATACATGGAAGATGTATGACAGGTGATAATGAGACCAAAGGGAATTGGCCAAGCAATGTACCTTTCTCTCTTATTTGCCTCTCCTCACTAAATAGCATGAAAGTGAGCAACTGATTAAGGCTGGAAAACCTACAAAATAGTAATTAATAATTACTGATTCTTCCTTGAGATTGTTGGCATTCCAATCAAAGGCACATTTATAAGTCTTAAAACGATCTCATCATATACGTACTAAGCAAAATCAAGCTTCTATTGGTCTTAATGACCAAAATAACTTTTATTGAATAATTGGGCACACCACTAGCATGGCATCTATCTAGACCAGAGGTAGGCAACCTTGGCTCTTTTCTGATTCGTGGACTTCAACTCTCAGAATTCCCGAGTCAGCTGACTCAGGAATTCTGGGAATTGAAGTCCACGAGTCAGAAAAGAGCCAAGGTTGCCTACCCCTGGTCTAGACTATTTTTAAAGGAAAACCAGGGTCTAGAATCCTAAAAACTTTCCTCAGCCTAACATTTGAGAATTATAAGAAGCTGCAAAAATGTCACCCAAAAGAACAATGATGAAAATAAATATAATATTGTTAAATGGGAGATACGTACGCTCTTCACAGAGGCGTCCCATCCAACCCTCAAGACAGGAACAAACATTTGGCCTCTCACAAACACCACCATTCTGACATGGGAACCGGCAAACAGCTAGAAAGGGCAGGTTAGAACAGGAAATTACAGAACAAAAATGATTCCTCAGAAAAGTAAACATTAGTAAGCTGATAAGGAAAGAAAACATTTATTGATGAAAAGGAAAGCATCTGGTATATAATACATTAGAATTACTAGGCAAAAATCCCTTAGTTAATGTTACTTCAGCTATGTGATTATGGCTACCAGATTTGGAATGAAAAAATCTGGACAGTTACTAGACAGTGGCAAAGAATAGTTTACTATGTCTCTTTGCTACTATCTAGTTCTTTGTCTGGACTTTTGCAGTTTTAACCAGTCATTTCTCATTTCTCAGTGTAAACCAGGGATGTCAAACTGCCGGCCCGGGGGCCAGTTGCATTGTGCAGAGGCTGTGCCCACCCCAGCTCCAGCAATGCAAAAAAAGTTGCTATACATCGCGACACGTCATGTGACGTGGCAAGTTTGACACCCATGGTGTAAACCAATCTTCTATGCCAGAGGTCCCCAACCCCTGGGCTGTGGCCAACTACTGGGCCTTGAGCCGTTTGGAACTGGGCTGAAGTGGCACACACGCATCCCTGCTTGAGCAACAGGTGTGTGTAGGCGCGTTTTGGTTTGGAGGTTTGTGCCCACGCACTTACCTGCCACTCACAGAGAACCATCCCCTCCCGTCCCCTGTCTGGTCCGCAAAGCCAGAAAGGTTGGGGAACTCTGTTCTATGCAGCACAGGGCTATTTTTGAAATATAGATGGTTATTTCTTCAAAAAAAGCACCAAGCCCTGTATATGTTAAGTAAGGCAAGATTATTGTACTATATGAAATAATTGGAAAAGCAATCAAAGTTGGATTATAAAATTAGAAACTGCAAAGCTGATCAGTTTGATCAGAGAAAAAAGATTTTTTTTAAAAAAGACTGAAAACCTTAAATGGCCTTTCTGTTAAAAAAAGGAAAAAAAAAGATTCAGTTGTTGATTTTAGGATTTGAGAAGGGACAAAGATGGGGAAAATATTAAGATGGTAATTACTCTGCGGAAGGCATAATTTTGTTTCCTTCCCCCCTTCTTGTTTTCTGTTTCTGTTATTTTTGATCTCTTTTTTTGTTTGTCTTGTATACTTTTACTATACTGAAAAAACTCTAAGAAAGATACATAGATAGATTACATTAAGAACTGACAAGCATCAGCCTGGCTTTATGAGAGCAGATGGTTCTAATGTTTCCTGCAGCCTGAGCTAAAATGGCCCCAGAGGATCAGAGAGGCCATATCTGTAGCAGCCTCAAGTGGCCTATAAGGGTTGGCCAGATCCTAATTCCTGACTACACCACAAAATTACATCCAAATTGTCTATATTATTCTGGATATGGAAAAATTACAGCCACTTGTGGGAATCTAAGGAATTGACTGCCCCTTGCCCTTCTCCCAAAATATCCTGTCCACAATAGAAATGCTTCTGGTAATAAACGTGCACCTGTAACCCTTTTACAGGCATCTCTGCACCCATCCTGTGCTGCCCACAAGCTCTTTTCTGCCAGCTGGGAGTCATCTGGGCTCCATGTTATCTCACGTAGCCAAGGAGGTGATTGTTTGTGTGGAAAATATCTAATTGTGGGTCTACTGGGCAAATTCTATAATAGGATGAACAGAAGCCTGAATCTGGTACACTGTTTACTGAGAAACAGTTCTGGATTACAAGGCTTAAAAACAAAATCTATGCTTATAATTATATAATACTCTTTAATGATATATCTGTAATTGGTTGAAAGCGTATTAGTTTCGCAAACTCAGGACATCTGCTAATATTGCTCATACTAAAGATTTACATGATCTGCTTTCATGCTGCCTCTGATGTAGGTCCTTCAAAGCAAAATGCTGGAAGTCTTTTGTTAGTCAATAAGCCTACATTATTTATAACACACTTTTAAAAATGAGTGAGGAGAAGTCCATTATAACATCAATCGGGAAAATATAGGCCATTTCTGCTACTTCTACCCTTTTCTGTCACCCGCTTTGAGATAGGAAGATGAGAATGAATACAAATAGTTATTATTTAAATATAATCTTCTTTTGCTCATTATGTGGTGTTTGCTAGTGATAAATAATCCATAAGACACTTGAAGACTTCACAAATGGAGTGTTGTGACAATATAAAGACTGCATATTTATATTACTGTTGTCACTGTGTAATCCTATTCTATTTGGGAATAGATTAATTACATATTCAATATTATTTGGAAACTAAGTCCTATTGATTTTAAATTCAATGGAACGTTTTTCATCCAAGAGGAAATTGTACAGACTGTGGACAGTGGCAAGCGCAGCACACCAGGATGAGGTCAGAATGACCTCCATATAGTCATACTATTATGCAAATACTATTCTTATTTTTTATCCTGATATTTGATATGAGTATGTAAATCACAATACTTGTAGGACAATACTGCCCTAGCATATTGTCGTTTGCATTCCTCCTCCTGCCCTAGGTTGTTTTGCCACAAACTGTTTGGTCTACCAATTTGAAATCTACCAACATTTTCTGAAAACAAAAAGTAAGAATATTTCTTCTTTCTGTAATAAAACTGAAACCTGGGTGCTAAATATGGACTATACCTACTTCCCGAATTGCTTGGACCTCACATGATCAGTTTTTCTCTATTATTCATTAACGCAACCCAGGGTTGCCTTTTCAGGGTTCTGGAAAAAAGATGCTGTTATTTTAAGATTTGCGTTCAGAGTAGACTTCTTAAAAGCAGCAGTGTCTTTTTTTAAGCTCATACATACCGCTTGAAAATGTAATTATGCTGTAAAGAAAGCAGGTAACTATTGGGCTCTTGTGATGTCTAAACACTTCCTCTGAAACATCTTTGAGGTGTGCCCAGCATTAGTAAGTACAGAATGCTGTAGGCCAGCGGTTCTCAACCGATGGGTCGCGACCCCATTTGGGGTCGATCGACCATTTTTCGGGGGTCACCAAATGCGGCGATCCGCCATTTTCTCCCCCCTGGGGGGGCGCCCCCATGCGCGCTGCACCGCGCATAACGTTTGTGTGATGGGGGTCGCCGTCACACAAACGTTGAGAACCGCTGCTGTAGGCAGTCATAGTTATGGGGTAGAAAACCCACTGTTGGAAGACAAGCAGTGATTGACACATTTCCCTTTCTTTGGGTCAGAAAAGACACCTGCAAACAAACTGCTTAAACAGAAGAACACTGACATCCCCTAAACTCTGCTGAAGGTGTTACCTAGCCTGGTAACGAAATGTTCAGAAACCAACCCACAAGCTCAGAGAAAAAAACCTTCACCCTCATCCTACACCAGAGCTAAAGATATTTGCCACCATTGCAAACTGCTTACTTTCTGGCTGAAAAAATTGGGAAGGGACAGTTCTGCAACAAGGGATGAAGACTGTGACCAGCTGTAGACTCAAAGTCACAGCTAGCAGTCTGCTAAATCCCTGGCTGCTGGTTCTGTTTATTATATCAAACACAACTGTGAATCTTGTAGCATATTAAAGTCTAAACATTTATTAGGGATAAAAAATTAAAAGCTTAAGTGTATCTTATGAAGGGGGTTCAGTTCACAAAATTCATATTGCAATGCATTTGTTAGTCTTCTATTTAAGTTGTCTCTTTAGCTGCTAAAAAGGAACGTTGCATCTCTTTGCCCTGAATCTATAATTCCTTAGGAGCAGAAGTAGAATACCAACCAATATTCAAAACAGGAAGCAAAGGAAAGGTACAGATTTGGAAAACAAAGCTCAGTTTAGAAAAGGGCTCCTAAATGCAAAACATTTGTGACAACAAGAAATAGGGATATTATGGCAGTTCCCCAAAATGTCTTAATATAAAACTGGGTCAGAATTGTCAGATGTTTCAAACTTTTATATATTATAAGATTTTATATTATATTATAAGCTCTTCCTTATAATATCTATCTGAAGATTGCAAGTGGCTTCATCTTGCTGTGTGTTGTTACTCTCAACTAATTATAGAAAGCAGAAGTGGAGCAATATACTAGCACATTAGTGCCCTGTCAAATTGGGGGTTGTGCTTAATGAGATGTTGGTATGTAAACAGAGTTTTAATCCAGAGCACACATTTAATCTGTCTGCCTGTCTGTCTATCACTCTCTCTACTGTCTGTCTGTTTGTCTAATTTTTCTTTAATAGGTTTTGACGTTCCCTTAAGAATAACTAACAATAATAATGGCACACAATAATACAGATATGTTTTGAAAGAATAGAAACACATAAACATACACACGAGTTCAAAATAAGTTATTTCCTGGCAGATGGCTCATTATGGTTCAGGACATCAAAAAAAAAAAATAAATAAATACATAGTGTTATGTGCTGTTTATTTCACCCTGAATGCCAACTTTGGCAAATTTCTGGAAAATGGTCTTTGGAGGATACTATTAGCTCAGTAGCTCTTATAAGGAAAACTGCCCTTGCATAGTTGTTGAAACTGCAAATTTACCTTTGCAAGCTGGTGGTCCTGTCCAGGTTCCGTTCTCTAAACAGACACTTCGAAGGGAGCCCTCTAGCATGTATCCACTGTAGCATGAATAGGTCACCATATCTCCATATTGATAAAATGTTCCACGTATCAAAGCATGTTCTACATGAGCAGGTGGCCCACAGGAGATCCCTGAATAAAATGGCAACAGAGAATTTGTAATGGTAAGCTGCCTTACAACCTGACATAGTGCATCACAGGGTTAGAGACAATAAATAATTACAAAGCTGAACTTTGGCAATCTCTCTGAATTCCAGAAAGCTGCAGATAGATTCCAACATCTAGATCAGGGGTGTTAAACTCAATTTCACTGAGGGCCGCATCAACATTGCGGTTGCCCTGGGGGGGAGCTGGGTGGGTGTGGCCAGAGTGGGTACAGCCTACTGGGTGGACGTGGATGGAGTGAGTGTGGCCTACTGGGTGGGCATGGTAAGTTCTACATCATTCGCATCAAGGGTGCCTATGGGGGTCTGGGCAGGAGTGGGACAGACCTGAGGGTCTCTGGCAGAAAGGGGTGGGACCGGGGCAAGTACCAAGGCATGGTCTACTGGGGCAAGTGCCAAGATGGCCACTACAAAATTGTACACTGGCTCCCGGCTGGTCTGAGCCAGGACCAAGGCAGCGGAGGCCGTTCCCTCACTGTTTCTAGGATGGCTTCGCGGGCCACATGAAACCACTTCGCGGGCCGCATCCGGCCCCTGGGCCTTGTGTTTGACATGTCTGATCTAGATATATAAGCATGGCTATCTGTAATCTTCTGTAATATCGGCTGGTATATTGGAGCAAGGGAAGATTTTATTATCTCCTTTAATATATACCATTCAGCTCCAAGAAAGGGGAGAAAAAATCCCACAACCAGAAAAAAGATGAATAGTTGTATTAACTGTTTCATGCCAAGAATTTGTGAGGAAAGATTACAGCAGCAGCAATGACATCTGATATGTTTGAGCAATTCTAGCTGAAGGATTGCCCTCTTGTCCTCAAGGATTTTTCTTGTTAGCCTAAAGGCTGTCCATTTTAAGGTATCTCCAACTGATGGCTGCCCAGCCTTTTCTTGAATTTATTTAGTAATTTAGTACCTTGTCATGTATGAAAGTTGCATTTGAATATGTCGGAATGAATATGTGTCCACTTGCGAAATCTATATTTCTTAGTTTTGTTTCATAGCTTTCCTGAAGAGTCAGATGACAAAAAAAAAAAAAAGATTTTAAACAAAAAAATCAAAATGAAAGCTGTTTTTCATTAACTACTTACTCTCACACTTAGATCTAGTTGAAGTCCAGACCTCATCAGGATTACAACTAATCACAGATTGTCCCTGAAGTCGATAGCCGTCTCTGCATTTGATATATACCTTTTGCCCAACATAAAACGTTGTTTCTGAGAGGATGGCATTTTCTGGGATTATAATAGGTACAGGGCACGGATTTGCTGTTTAAAGCAAAGAAAGGGGGAAAAGATAGATTTTAAAAGATTACCAAAGTACATTTTGATTGTCCTTATTTACTTACAAATTTCCATTCCTTCCCTTACTTCTGAGAAATTTACTCATTATTCATTGTACACAATTTTTTTCCCTGCCTTTCCTTATCAGAAAAAAAAACTGTAAACTTCCATCAGCTATTACCAGAATAGAAAAAAAATATGTTAACCATTTGCTTCTTTATTGTTTTTCTATTGAAGATTCGTTCTGCTACTTTTTATCATGTGATGGAAAATATGGTCCTTTTTATGTTTCCAGAGAAAAGTGTCTTGAAGGGGACACAAAGGAAAAACCTTGAGATAATCCTGCCTGGAATTCTGCTGTTAATTATTAGGAAGTGTGCATTAAAGGTTTTCTGCTGCTTCCCCCATTAAAGAATTGCACAATGTACATGGATGCACCTTTTACTGTTTTATTATTCTGCTGGGGGAGTAGGGCAGGAAACAGTGCAATAAATACTCTCTTTTCATTTCAGGTGCTGCCAGTCATAGACATCACTGCCAATGCAGCCATTACCTTGCAGGCAATACTAGCTGGTAATGGATAGCATGATTAACCACCTGCTTCGCCCTGTATCCTTCTTCCAAGCAAAAACTTTAATTAAAAGCGATTATAACTTTGAATTTAGAAAGTTAAAAAAGGGATTAGGGTTCCTGATAAATTTGAAACAAGGTTCTGTAATTCATTATAAATAATCCTTCCTGTGAGAACATGTTCTTTTTTAATTCTTTTATAAAACACAAAGTAAGACAAGACTAAAAAATGGACCTTAGAAAAAACTATAAACAACTAAAAATTACAATTAAAGAAGAACATTCAAACTTGACTTATGAATACAGAATGAAGCAACTATTTTAACATTGGACATACTGAAGAATGTTAAAATGTTTTTGAACAATGGTTCCATAAGTTAGTTTTAAGAGTTTATGCCTCTACAGAAAAACTATGTGTAAAAGATGCTATGGAAGAAGAACACGTTTTAGTAGACATAATTGAGATTGATCTAAAAGTGGATTTAAAAATGATAGGCTGCAAAAATGACATGGAGACAGATGTTACACTGGACATATAAAAGAAATGGGCTGATCTCTTAATTAAAAGGGATATACAAATAACACACCAAGAGACTGACCTGGATACTTTTTTAATACTGTGTTTAGAAAACAGGTTTATTAAAACTTTTAAGAATTTTGTGAGAAGAAACAAAAAAAAATGGAAAAGAAATTAAGTTCTAGCACTTTATTTGACAGGTCTAAAGATCAAGATTGTTAGAAGTAAAAGGAAGGAATATAAACTTATTTTACTTGATCAAGGTCAAAATAGATATGCTGTTATTTCTGTTAACATTTTATGGAATTTTGCTGACATCAGGACTAAAATGATGAGGCTTTGTGGATTTGTTTATAGATACGATATGGGATATGATAGGATGAGATCATTGGCTATATTTTAAGAGAAGTTGATATTGTACTAAAATTGTTTATATTTGTTATGATGAAGGAGAATATATATATTTATATATTTTGCCTTTTTCTTTGCTATATTCTTATTTCTTTTCTTTCCAGGAGTTAGTTAAAATGGGGCTTTCTTGAAAAATATTTGGAGGGAAGGCATTTTCAGATTCTTACTGCTCTATACTTATTGGATTTTTAAACACTATTGTTGACCACTGAAAGTCCTTGAAAATTATGACCCCATACAATTCAAGCCATTTAATTAACTGGAGGAGGGATTCCATAAATGGAATAAAAGCACTGAAAAACTCCACAATAATTTTATTACTTGTCGTACATAAGGCAGAAGCACCAGAAAAAAAGTCCAAAGATAATCAAAACATACAGGCAAGTTGATATATATTTTTTTTCAAATATTTAGAGACCGTAAACTGTTCTGGGCTTGATATTTAATTCCAGCAATTCAAATGGTGTTTGATCACAGAGAAGAGCGCCTGAGGTTTTTTTTTTTTTTTAAACTATATCAGTGAGATTATGTTCCTGTTGTTCTAAATGAAAAATTGTTTTAGTTTACAAATGGAGTTCAAACATTTTTTACCCAGATCTTTTAAATGATTATTTAAAGGAGGTTTTGTTTTTTTTAATGGTGTTGCTTTGCCTTTTGGATGTTTGTATGCTACCAAAATCACAAATGTGATTGGATGCCTGCATCCACACATCTGAGGTTTCTGAACAGACCTCAAAGGCTCAATTTTTGATTAGAAATATTGGGTAAAAATTATTTCCTTTTCCCCTCCTAATATTGTTTTTAAATGTTGAAATGTTGTTATGTGTCTTACAGGATAAAAATTACATCATGGCTTGCTTGGTTGTACAATCTGGCTCAGTGTATCTTTGCTGCCATCTTGAGGTGAAGTAAGATATTTATAGCAAATGTTATATAGAAAACACTTTCAAAGATGAAATAAATATTACAGAAATATGGTTGAAAATTTTAAATAGATGTACACTGTAGACAATTATTCTATGGCCAATCAGTATGGCCTTCTACAGAAACAGAAATGATAATTCCTTTACAAGTGATAGTCTTGTAAAGAATTGATAGTTATATTACAACTTCCGCTGTGAATCTTGGTGACTGAAGACATCTCCTTGAACAAGCGGAGATGATAACTGCTGTGACTGATGAGTAGACCGATCCTTAGATACTCTCTGGAGGAGGACAGAATGGTAAATTTCCTACAATTGCTCTGAATGGCAGTTCCTTGCATGGAGACCATTGTTTTATGGTCTCCTGTGGGATTGAACACCAGGGAGTTGACATCGTTGTCAGAGCACTGGAGTCTTTAAGGACATGAGGCCAGTCAACAACATTTTTAATCACATTTGGAAATGTTCAGTGTAATCTGTTTATGGATATTAGAGACCTTTAAACAGTGAGCTTAATATGACACCTGGTGAATTTTATGTTCTTTGGGTTTAAGAAATTTTAAACAAAGACTTAATAATTTAAAATAATATATAATTGGCAGAAAGGGACCTTGGAAGTCATCTAATCCAGTGGTCCCCAACCTTTTTGCTTCATGGACTAGTGGCGGTGCACGGTAGCAGTGGGGGCGGTGATGGGTTTGTGCGCTCAGTGTAATTCTGCGCATGTGCAAATGAAGCTTCATAAACTCACCCACCACTTGTGCAGCCCAGTTCCCAATGGGCTGCAGCCCGGTAGCAGGTCATGCCCTGGGCTTGGGGACCCCTGCTCTAGTCCAACCCCCTGCTCAAGTAGGAAACATACCATTTCAGAAAAATGGCTGTCTAGTCTCTTCCTAAAAACCTCCACTGGTGGAGTACCGCAACTTCTGGAGACAAGTCATTTCATTAAATGTTCTGTCAGGAAATTTCTCCTTAGTTCTAGATTGGTTCTCTATTTGATTAGTTTCCACCCATTTTTGGAAACTAATCAAGGAGGGAACCAACTTAGGATTTTGATTTAAGAAAGTTTTAAATGGATTGGGAGACGAGACTTGGAACATTAATTATTTTTGCTGTAAGATTTGTATAATATACAAATAATATACTTAGTGGGAAATGACTCCATTTGAACTAAATCCATGGAACTGAGGTTTGATGAAGGTTGCAAATGGACACTAGAGGGAGATAAAGCATTAGATAGAAAAGAGTTAAAAATGCCTAAGCCAGCTATAACATTTTCTTATCTTAAAAGAGTTGTTGATAACTGGACTGAGATGTTAATAAATTATATTTCAGGAAGGATACAGATAAAAGTTTAAACAGATAAACTTTTAGAAGATTATGAGAAAAAAAAACTTAAAATCTTTTATCTGAACATAATAGAGTTTGGAGGCGTGGAAGAGAATAATTCTGAGATTACCAAAATGGCAATACAAAAGCCGAATCAAGGTCATGTGATGATCCATTACTGTTTTAATTCAAGGACTACCTGTATAATTATTAAAAACTTCAATAAAAAAGAATAATGGTTATAATGAAATATATATTCCAGAAGCTAGTTTCTCAACTTGTTAAATTTAAACAGTTCTATCTCATTATTTTGAACATTTTGAGGAAAAACAATATCCAGAACTCAGTTTTAAAGTAAAGATTACTGTCTATTATTAAAAAGTAACATACGTTTGCATAAGGGTGTTGGGTGGCTCCATGCTCCGGCTTCTGTGCATTCTGCAATAGGTTCACCTTCCAAACTATAATCCCTATTGCAGTAATATGCAGTTCTGCTACCAACTGTATTATTTTCAGAGACGACATTTCCATTCTCAATCAATTCTGGATCTTCACATCTGGTTTCTAAAAAGTGGGGTATGATAGTTAAGATATCTCTTCTCTGTTCAATCACTTAATAATAATCAGAGAATTTTCTGGATGAATCTACATTGTTAAAAAGGGTTCAAAGACCTACAATTACTTTTGAAATGGAATGCTAGAGCATTACAACATGTATAAGGATTGGGGTACTATATTGAGCAAATTGGCTTAGAATAGATTCCAGACACAACAAATCTAGAAGAGCAACAAGCCCCACAAACAAAACCCCATAATCACCTTCACATGTTGGAAGGGGTTGACTCCAGGATCCATTGGCCAAGCAGGTGATGTCCTCAGGTCCATGTAAGTGATACCCGAAATTGCATACAAAAGATATATTACTTCTGTACATATTGTCTGTGGCTATGGAAAAGGCATTTGCTACTGTTGGAGGGGCTTCACATCTTATGCCTAAAAAAAAAAAAAAAAGAATCCTTACTTCTGAAATTTATTACTTATTCTATTTCTTCTTTGGCTGTATGCTTAGGACATGATTTTTTGGCCAATGTGCATGGACTTTTACTTACTCACACATGTCGGAGCGAATGGCGTCCACTTCTTGTTAACATGACAGATCCTTCGAGTTGGCCCCTGTAACTCATATCCCCGATTACAACTGTAGAAAACTTCATCTCCAAGTAAGAAGTCTTTGCCAACAACAGATCCATTATCTATTGGTTCGGGGGAACCACAGGATATTTCTGAAGGTGAACATATAGATTATTTTGCTGGCAAGAGTGGGACTGTGACAGATTCATTTGAAAGGGTTTGCAGATGTCTACAAGTACTGTAGTCCTCGCTTAACAAACATAATTGAGACCTGCAATTCTACTGCTAAGTGATACTATGTGGCTGCGATGGACTCACAATATTACTTCCCATTTGGTTGTTAAGTGAATCATTCCAATTCATTAAGCAAGACGTAACCTCAACTTAGAGTTTCACTGCCATTTTCTCCATTGATTCTGCTAATTGGAAGCTAGCTATGAAGCCTGCAAACGGCAATCACACGAGCACAGATCACTGTGATCATCATGAACAGATAATGGTTGTGAGGTACACTAATCTCAATCAAATTTGTCGATGCTATTGTAAATTTGAACGGGGCAGTTGTTAAGTGAGGACTACCTGTAATTACTAAAATCATAAGCAATCTATATAGTGGATTCAATAGGTATATCAAACTCAATATAGTGAGTTCCAAATGTACCCCCTTTGTTCAATAGTACCTATTGGTGCTAATTTTGCTTTCCTAATGGCGCAGTGGTTAGAGTGCAATATTGCAGGCAAACTCTGCCCACAGTCTGGAGTTCGATCCTGACCTGTTCAAGGTTGACTCAGCCTTCCATCCTTCCGAGGTTGGTAAAACAAGGACCCAGATTGATGAAGGCCAATATGCTGACTCTGTAAACCTCTTAGAGAAGGTTGTAAAGCACTATGAAGCAGTATATAAGTCTAAGTGCTATTTGCCACAGGCAAAAACTTTGCCACTTCTATTTGCAGGTCTTTGTATTTTGTGATTTATCTCCAATTCTTTCTCTTTCATTATTATTATTATTAGAGTTCATTGCACAGTGAGCCAGATGTTTAGACTGGATTGGGCATTTTTATCTATCTAGCATTATTATTACAACATTATTCTCATATAAATAAGTGATATTTTAAATATTGTTAAACACTGTTCAGCTTCTGCAGGCAAAATCAGCAAATACAGAATGTCTTTCTATCTTTCTTTAAATCACATTCAAGCTAAGCCTGAGGGGAAATAAATGAATGCATTGCTTACTTTTACATACTGGTGTTACTCCACTCCATAATTTATCTCCTTGACAGGTATGTTCTGCATCACCCTATCAAACAAGAGAATGGTTCAGAAAACACCATGATATATCCATCATATTGTCATACTCTCACAATCTTTAAAAAAACAGATATGCCTTTGCTTTACATTCTGCATGATTTAATAAAGACAAGAAGCTAATATTTGATAACAGAATGTCCATTTTTCTCTTAGGTATTATATAGCAGTAACTTGGGCTTCTACAAGGCTTGATCTTTTCTCTCCTGAATCCATCATAATAAATAAAAAGCAGATTTAAAGAATATACAAGCTAAACCTTTGTTATTTTATTGAAGCATTGGGGGCAGGATTTTTCATTTTCAGAAAACAATGTCCCTACTCCATTGCTATATTACTTTTGTTTTTGTTTTTTTTAAAAAAACCCACCATACTGCAACAATAATTTTATTACTCTTTTTTCCCTTGATACGAGTCACCACTTTGTAGGTCCTTGGATAAAAATGTGAGGAAAACATTGCAATAAATTATGGAATCTCATTTGTATGTGAGAAATACATTTTTTTTTTAAAAAAAAATAAACCTGATCTTCATTCTTCCTATGGTATTTTCTTAATTTCTTTTATTGAAAAAAGGGCTGGATGACCACAGGCATATGTGACAAATTTCCAAATGAAATGCAAATCTTTCCTATTTTTAGTACACTATTTTTAAACAACATGTTTTAATTTTTAGAAGTAAATGTTTAAATGCTAAGAATTTGATACCACCACTGCTAATACTAAAAGCCTTCATGCAAATTTGGCAGAATTAATTAATTGGTAGATTTCTATGCAATAATACTCACTTAACACCATTCAGACAAGTATGCAATAGGAAAGTAACACTAGGTTGTTGCTTTTTTGGTTAAAAAATGGATCCTTCCCTGACTAGCATCCATGAATCCTGTGTTTACTAGTCACATAATCTCTATTTTGCTCCCTTTGGGATGCACTATGATTTTATTTAATAAAACAAATCCATGAAAATTAAGGAATGACCAAAATCTGGAAACACCTTACTCCTATATTTTATGATCAAGGCTAAACACTTTATTTTGTCTCTCTTTCCCTCAACTTCTGAACATGAGCAAGCAATGCCTGGGCATTTTAAACACTGTTCCCCTGAAGGAGATGCATTCATGTTGACTGTTAATGCAGTGCACAGCATCTCAATTTTTGCATTTAATTTTTTTTAACATGACTTGATCTTTTTCTTTAGTGAGACAAGCAGCAAGTAAAGCCTAAATGCACCCTTCATACTCCTGTAGCAAATTTGTATTTTATTTTCAGATTTTTCTACCCAGGAATGGAAGAAGCTGTCCCAACAAAAAACAATTGTAGCGAAAAGGTTTATGAATTAACTTTTTTCTGATCTAAAACTAACGTGATATTGCATGGATGATACACAAAGGAGCAGACTATAGAAAATATTCCATAGACTTACCTCTAATTCATAACCCAAGTTGCATTTATAAAGAACAGTATCTTTGTAATTGTATTGGTTGCCAATCACAATCCCATATTTTGGAGTTTCAGGTTTTCCACAGGAGACTGGAGCGCAGATCTCATTTGAAAATAATGGTAGCCAGGTCCCATTATGCTGAAAGAAGGGAAAAATATCTTTGGCTTTGTTAACCAATGAAAATAATTACAAACAAGTTAATTATATATAAAAGAGCCTGATTAGCAAAGAGATTACAATGCTGGACTAAAAACCATAAGATTGCAAGTTCTATTCTCCCATAGGCATGAAAACCAGCTGGCTAATTTTGGCCCAATTATACTCTCTTAGCTCAATATAATTTCTAAAGTGCTGAGGAGAAAATAGAAGATGGAAGCATTAAGTACCTCAGCTTGTACAAAATAAAAGGTAAAGGTTTTCCTATCCAGTCATGTCTGATTCTAGGGTGGGTGAGGTTATTTCTGTTTCTTGGCCGAGGAAGCCAGCATTGTCCGAAGACACTTCCGTGGTCATGTGATCAGCAGGACTATACGCCAAGGTGCACAGAACACGGTTACCTTCTCACTGAAGTTGTACTTATTTGTCAGTCACATTTGCATGCTTTCGAACTGCTAGGTGGACAGGAACTGGGGCAAGGAACAGGAGCTCACCTTGTCACATGGCGCCCAGGTCTTGAACCTGAACTGTTAACTTTCCAGTTGACAAGCTGAGCATCTTCAACTGCTGAGCCATTGCATCCCCCCCCCCGTACAAAATAAAAACAGGGAGAAAAACCTAATACAAATACTAATAAAAACAACAAACAAAACAAACTCCTTGTAATGTTACGGAACACTTTTTATTTTCCTTTGTGCAGAACAGTGCTCTTGCTATTTTAGCAAACAGGGAAAATATAACACATGTTACATGTGTTGTTAAATTTCATAACTTAGTTGTAATGTCAAACGGTATACTCCAGCTGTCTGCACTCCAGCTATAGGCAATGTAGCATGGCATTTGTTTGCTGCCAATTGCTTACATGTTACTTCAATTAAAAGTGCACTGATGGGTTTGGAAAAGGGAAAGAAAGCAGAATTGTATAAGAGTGCATGCAAGAATATTTACAGGAACGTTGAGGTATTTCAGGAACTGTGGATATGCAGCACAGTAATGTATAGGGGTCAAAGATCTACAGTAGATTAATACAAAGGGAAGTATGATTTCTGTTTTTTTGGATAGCACATATGTCAGCAGAACAAGATTATTTCACACGAGGTTATTATTGGGTTGGATTATTTTTGAAACATTGCAAATATCAGTTTATTGAAAGAACTAGCAGCAAATACTAGGAGCAAGTTTTTCTTCTAAATTATTGTTGGAGTTATTGGGTTATCTGGCCTGTGAGGCTGAGTCATCAGCTGCAGTAGGCCAAGGTATAAGGAAGACGGAAGTCAAAAAGTTCGAGAGAATACCAAGAAGTGCCGTGCGGTGCAAAGGAATGTGTTTGGTGCGTTATTGGTGCCGGGTGTAACAGCTGTATAGGGATGTGAGCAAAACAAAACTGTAGCACGTGTAATATGCTAATATGCTGTGTTGCAACAGTGTGATTGGTGTGATGTGGTCACGAGGTGCATATAAACCCGCCTTCTGATAACGCAATAAAAAGGATGCTTCGGCTTTGTTCGGGGCTCCCATCCCGAGGAAACCACGTGTTCGTGTCTGTTCTTCTACACTCATGGGAGACCCGCTGGGCGTGTGAAAGCCCACAACTGGTAAATTTCATAACTTAGTTGTAATGTCAAACGGTGTACTCCAGCTGTCTGCACTCCAGCTATAGGCAATGTAGCATGGCATTTGTTTGCTGCCAATTGCTTACATGTTACTTCAATTAAAAGTACACTGATGGGTTTGAAAAAGGGAAAGAAAACAGAATTGTATAAGAGTGCATGCAAGAATATTTACAGGAACGTTGAGGTATTTCAGGAACTGTGGATATGCAGCACAGTAATGTATAGGGGTCAAAGATCTACAGTAGATTAATACAAAGGGAAGTATGATTTCTGTTTTTTTTGGATAGCACATATGTCAGCAGAACAAGATTATTTCACACGAGGTTATTATTGGGTTGGATTATTTTTGAAACATTGCAAATATCAGGTTATTGAAAGAACTAGCAGCAAATACTAGGAGCAAGTTTTTCTTCTAAATTATTATATCACATTCTATTTTATTCTGAACATTCTGAAACCTGTGTCATTCCATTCTCAATAATAAACCTGTTAATCATTTTTTTGTTGATGCCTGCAGAATCATTACACAGGATGAAATGCATTGACAGACAAAATGCATTAGAAAAAATTACTGAGGGCAGGACCATACAATTTTAACCATCTTTATCCCAAAGCAAAATAAACAAATTGCCTCTATTTTATGGTAAATATGATCTTTGCTACCTAAGTCAGAGGAATGTGACCTTCTGAGCATTCTTGATTTTTAACTGGCTGAAGAGACATTTCAAAATATCTTGCAAGATCTTGTAAAACAATAGTTGTAGTGAATCCAGGTTTTCCCTTATTGGCATTCAAAAGCTTAAAGGGCAGAATAATTTTGAAAACAGTTTTGGTGCGGTTCTTTATAATAAACACAACACTAGTGGCAGACTCTCAGTATTGATATATGGCTATAAGACAGGGCTTTTTATAACCAAAACAGATTGGAGAAAAAAAAATATTTACCTGGCAAGTGGAGGTGCTGGTACCCATCAAAAAATAGCCTTCTGGACATGATAAGGTAATGCTTTTATTCACAGTAAATTCAGTATCAGAAATAATAATATTGGTTACATTGGGTGGCATGGGACATTTTCTGGGACAACAGGAAATAGTGTTAGGGAACCAGTGCCCATCTTCCTGACAGGTACATATATCCACTTCTGTCTCTACCACATAGCCCTCCAGACATCTGAAACAAGATAAATATTTGTCACCCATATGAATTGTTGTACATTCCACATTAATCATTCTGCACCTTTAATTATGTGCCTGGCAATTTCAGTTAAAAAAAACAAACTACCTTCAGGGACCTACTCTTGCAAATGTTTGTTTGTTGGAAGAACAAGCTTAGAAACAGTCACCAACAAGAGGTGACCCTGACAATTAATATGACTGATAACAATTACATCTATAGTGGTAACACACTGACTACATCATTCATAGAGAGTTTCATCTAATAGCTGGAACTGAGTATTGCTACGCTTCCTGGCTATGCCTCATTCTGTTTCGGATAGTGTTCTGCAGAATTGCATCTTATTGATTCAAAAGCTAATTACTGCAATGCAATTGAGGACAACCTATTTGGATGTATAAGTCCTGATTAATGGCGGAGAACTCCTGACAATGTAATTCAGAAATTATTTTGTATTAGAGAACTCTAGACTCTGTGAAACTCTTAGCCATCCATCCATTCATCCATCCACCCACCCATCCATCCATCCTAATGTGAAACTATCAACACTTCTTACCTGTATTGAACTTTACTTCCATAGTCTTCTGATTCTCCAAAAGCAACCGCATGAGGCACAGTAGGTGGTGGTCCACAAGTCAGTAAAGTGCAATTTGGGTATGGCCTACTCCAGACTCCCGTTTCTGTACAAGTCAATTCCGAGCTTCCTTGCATCACATAACCCATTTCACAATTATAAATTATGGTGTTTTGATCCACTGAACTGCCTCCATTGATAAAAGCATTGGGAATCACAGGTGGAGGGCCACAGGAAATGAGCCCACAATGCGGAAAGCCAGAACTCCATCTGCCAATAGCTTCACATGTGATTTCTGAAGGTCCTAGCAGTTTGAAACCTTCTAGACATTGAAATTCTATCTTCTTGCCACAGCCAAAATGGTTACCTATAATTATCCCATTCTGAATGGTGGGTATAGGGCACTCACAAAGCAGACAAGAAGAGGGTCTTCCACTCCATAAACCATTTGACTGACATTGCCTCACTGGGTTACCTTGCAACTCATAACCAGGGAAGCAAACATACTCTACATATTCCCCAAAACTAAAGACAGAACCATTCAGGAAACCATGAGAGATGTCCTCAGGAGGCCCACAGTCAACGGGTTCACAGAATGGAGGTTCTTTATCCCATGTTCCATTAGCCTGGCAGGTACGAAGGAGTGTGCCATGCAATATATATCCTTCATCACAGAAATACTTAATTCTCTTTCCAACGCCAAATTCTGATCCAATTATCTGGCCATGAACAAGTTTCACTGGTTCAGAACACTGAACTGGCCTACACACTGGAGTGTTCCCGCTCCAGTTTCCATCTGCAAGACAAACACTCTTCTGGTCCCCTTCCAACAGAAAACCTTCTTTGCAGCTGTATTCAATATAGTTTTGGTATGTGTATTCTTCTCCACTCACTTCACCGTTCTCTAAATAGGGAGCTTGGCCACAGGAAGTGGGAATGCATAGTGGCTCATTTCCATCCCATTTTTGATCAGACTGGCAGGTTCTCTTATGTAAGCCATTTAGCTGAAACCCATGATCACAATCATATTGGACCACACTACCATAGGTGTAAGATTCTCCTTTTATTATGCCATTCATGGGTCTGCTAGGCACTGCACATGATATTATCTTGCAGGTTGGTGCTGAATCACTCCACTGTCTCCTAGACGTACAGTGTCTTGTATTGGATCCAATCAACTTATACCCTGGCTTACAAGAATATTTCACTGTACTACCAACAGTGTTCTCTGTAAAATGTACAAAGCCATTGTCTGGGAACAGTGGTAATTCACATTGAATGGAAACACAGGCAGGAGCACTACCATTCCACATTCCATCTTCTTGGCACGCTAGCACGGAATTTCCTAAGAGTTCATACCCTGAATAGCAACTATACAACACTGCAGTGCCATATAAATAGCTGGATAGTGGCAAGCTATTAATGACTTTTGAGGAATGTTGTGTTTCTTTTGGAGATAAATAAGACTGGCTAGCCATAAGTAAGCTCTCTTCGAATACATCTTCTTGGCCAAAATGCTTTTCTTCACTGCGGATTGTTACATATCCCCCAAAGTCTATATGGGGAGGAAGGCCACAATCAGTTGGTAGACACACTGGACTAACACTAGACCATCCTGATTCCTCACAGACTTGCATCGCAAGACCAGAAAGCTGGAATCCTGGAATACAGCTGTATATAACCATGGCACCATAGCTGTAATCTGCACCTTCTACAAACCCATTATCAATAGGTTGAGGAGGATCACAATTAATTGGTCTACAAGATGGAGCCCCTGTATTCCACTCCCTTGTTTCCAAGCACGTTAGAACTCTCTGCCCCTCAAGCCGGAATCCTCTGTCACATGAATAGGTAATTGTCTGTCTGTAGTGTAGATCAACATATGAATACCGACCATTCTTAATCTCTCTGGGTTTGGAACATTCAATGGGTTTGCAAGAAGGCTCTCCTCCAAGCCAACGTCCATCTTCTCCACAAAGAATTGTTGTGTTTCCCATTAATTCAAAACCTGGTTTACAGCTATATAGTGCTGTGCTGAGATAGGTAAGGCCTTGTACATCTACAATACCATTCTGAATTTCCTCTGGCTGCGGGCACTCCACAGGAATGCATTCTGGAAGCGGAGAACTCCATGTACCATCTGCTTGGCAAATAATGGTAGACGTTCCCTTGAGCAAAAATCCATCCATACATGTATAGCTCACCTTGCTACCAAAATGCAGAGAAGACACCACGGAGTCCCCAAAAGGAATATAAGGAGGCCTATGACAGAGTACCATTTTGCAGACAGGAAAAGTGTCATTCCACCGTTGGGATGACAAACATCTTAGGATGGAAGCCCCATACAAAATAAAGCCTTCTCTGCATGACAACTGCACTATCCCTACTTGGTCAGCCATCTCTTTCAAGACAAGTTGATTCTCAGTTAATGGTGGCTCTGGACACTTGGTTGGGATACATTGGGGGCTTTGTTTTTTGTTCCACATTCCAGATTTCTGACAGGTCCAAGAAATATCTCCAATCAATTCATAGCCTTCATCACAAAAAAAACTGACTTTGGTTCCCACTTCAAATTTTTTTCCCTTGCTGAATCCATGCTGGAAGGTAGGTGGTTCTCGACAATTGAGGATCACGCAAGAAGGTTGTACTTCACTGTACCACTGACGGTTTGACTGGCAAAGTAATCTTGAACTTCCAGTCAACTGGTAACCTTCATTACATTGGTATGTCACTTCACTTCCAAAGAATCGTCCTGTCATATTCTGCAAAATGGATGAAATAAATGTTATAGCTGATAAAGTGATCAAAGTCTTGACAATCTGATGCTACAGAACAGTAGCTAACTTATCCCTCACTTTAAAAAAATGGCACAATGTAAGCTTTCGGCAGCCAGTTAATGAAATATGTTAGTTTACAAAGCTTTGACAAACATGAAGTATGTATCTGTATTTAAAATGTGTCTGTGTATGTGCATGTATATATAGATTTAGTTCTCTTTCAGTGCTTATGCAGAACAATCAAATATTTCTAGCACTACTGCAAATCTGCTTGCTTACCTACTGAAAAGTTTCCCAGATTTGAAAGTATCAGTGGGGTAAATATTGCAGCTATCATATGGCACCACATTTCTGATTTTACCTAACATGAATACATCCTCAAAATTACAAACTTCAGCTCACTTTTAGTAAGCTTTCAGGATCTTAGGATCTTTAATAAGCTTTCAGGATTTCAGACAGCATGTTGACTGCACCAAACGCACAAACATTATTTTCTTACATTCAAGACTGTACCAATACCTTAATTATTCCATTTGCAAGTTTTAGTGGCTCACCACAGGACACTGGATGACAAGTTGGCATAGTACCACTCCACGTTCCTGTTGCTTCACACGTTCTCTTCTTCTCTCCTTTAATATAGTAGCCTCTAATACAGCTATAAGCCACAATGGCTCCAAAACTGTAATTGGTGCCAATGGAATACCCATTTGCAATGCTCGCTGGTTCTCCGCAACGAACAGGGATGCACTGGATGGCCAAGGGAGACGGGTTCCACTGACCACCTCGGATACATTCTATTTTAGCAGATGTGTTTAAAACGAAACCTTCCGTACACTTGAAGCTCACAACTGACCCAGCTGCAAATCTGGCCTTATTTGAAGATTCCAAGATGCTGTATGATACAGACTCTGGTCTCTCACAGAAGTCAGCTATGCATTCAGGAATATCTTGGTTTTCAGGGGGCATCCATTTGCCCTGGGCATTACAAAGTAACTGGGAATTGCCAGCCAGACTGTACCCATCCGAGCAATAGTAGATGGCTATATCACCAAATAATCGATGACCACTCTCTGGAGAAGCATGTTCCACGGGAGGCGGTTCATCGCATGACACTGCCACACACTGTTGTTGACTGAGGTTCCACTTGCCGTTGGACAAACATGACACAGTGTCAGGGCCGAGTAATGTGTAGCTATGGGTAAGAAAAAAACAGCAGGGATAGATTCCTAAGGACTGAGTAGACAATTTTTATTGCCTTATACAAATGGATTTCTAACTCATAGACTACAGGGGGAAAGCCACATTCCAAGGTCACTGTCAAACTGGCTAATAGGTAAAAATGCATTGTTATTGCAAATAATCCAATGCGTGTTTTTTTTTAAAAAAAGTGTACTATCAAGAACTTTAATTAAGCACTTTTAACTCCAATCAATTTCATAGAATGTTTTCATTTTTTTTTTTTAAAGAACGGAGACAACTTCAGCTGCACTGTATGTAATCGTCAGCCTTCTCAGGTATACCAGACAGAAAACATGACCAGATGCGCTAATTCGACTTTATTGTAAGGCCACATTGACAGAATCTTGCAGGTTGGATTGTACAAATCTCCTGCCGTCTTGTAGAGTCTGAAAAGTTATGGAGGGTTTTTTCCTGAATTTCTTTCTTTGAACTTTATGAAGCTGCAAGCTGTGCCTTCCCTGCCCCTCCCTCCAGATAATTCTCTTTTACCATGACAATAATAATAGAAAATTGCAGATATAGAATATTCTCATATGCCTCCATATTGTATATATATATCCCCACAAAGTTCCTTGGATGCAGTTTTGGGGGGAAAGAGAACAAAAGGTATCTATAGAGGAATACATCTCTCTATATATCTATATCTGTATCTGTATCTGTATCTCTATCTATCTATCTATCTATCTATCTATCTCAAAACATTGAACGTTTGCAAGAATGGATTATTGGATAAATCATTCTTAAAAAAGAACTAATCTCTTGCCCTTCTAGAAGCTGAAATAAACAGAAACAGGTAGCCATTTTTCTATCCTAGTTGATTTTCAAGAACCACCTGTTCCTGCTTTTCAATAAATTAATTCTTTGATCCCATCTGGAGATGTTAGTTCCCAAAATCCTGCCTGCTTGCTTTCTTGCTTTAATCAAGTAAGTTCCCTGGTTTAATGGTCCATTTAAAAAACAAATCAGAAATCCAGGTTTGGGGCATTCTTTTGAATAGGAACAAAGGTGGAAGTCTGCAGTAATGCAATTTTACTTTTTGAATGTACAATGACAATTTCTCCCTGAGTTTCTCAACTACTTAGAAAGCTTCCTTGGCAACGCATACAGTTTGGCACAATGATCTGGATTTAAAGAACAAAATATGAATAAAAGCTACAACACTGAAAAAAAGTGACTTATGACCATTTTTCACATTTATGACCATTGCAGCATCCTAATTTGGACGCTTGGCAACTGGCATGTATTTATCATGGCTGCAATATATCATGCATGTAGCATCTGTCATCAACCTGAAATCCAGGTACTGAGTAAGCTCTAAAAAAATGCAAACATTTTAAGATATTCCCAACAAATATTGCATAAATCCACACATACAGTATGTTACATCTTGCCCTTTGAGTCTTAATTGCTGCACAATCTTAATAATCTTTTATGGAGTGGGAAACACATTTTCCTCTCTCATATTTTTCAAACCATTTTACTGAGCCAGCATAGCATCTGGCTGCTCTGAGAGGCCATGAAGTTTGAAAAGCCCTGTGATATGCGGATTTAAAATGAATGATTAAAATGAAATGATATCATTCTTTGCCCAATCCCAACCTTAACGGTATCGTTATTTAGGTTCATGGAGGATTACACAAAGTTATTTATTGTTCTTAAAACAATAAATTTGCAGCGGTGCAAAACCTTGAGAAACCTGTCTTAGGTTAATACAGAAATATGGATTTAGAAAAAAAGCCACAGAATTATTAATAACATTTCATCAAACGATACTACTAGAGTTCGAATCTAATGCTGATTTACGTACCCTTCCTTACACGTGTAAGTGACAGTATTCCCAAAGGTAAAGTTGTTTCCAGTAATAACAGCATCTTTGATTACTGGAGGAAGGCCACAAGAAATGATCTCACAATCAGGAGGTGAACTGCTCCAGTTACCTAAAGCTTCACATACAAGCACAGATGGTCCTTGTAGACTGAGGAACAAATAAATAAACAACATAGAGTAGATAGTGGGTAAGATAAAAAAGTAGGGGGGAAAAAAAAGGTCTTTCTGTCCAAGTAGGTCAACAAATGTTCTTTTTCATTTGAGGATTTGTTGAAATTGTTCAACTTTGATTAACAATCAGTCCAAGGGTATATACAGGTAGTCCTCAACTTATGACTATTCATTGAGTGACCGCTTGAAGCTACAACACTGAAAAAAAGTGACTTATGACCATTTTTCACATTTATGACCATTGCAGCATCCTAATTTGGACGCTTGGCAACTGGCATGTATTTATCATGGCTGCAATGTCCTGGGTTCATGTGATCGTCTTTTGTGACCTTCTGACAAGCAAAGACAACGGGGAAGAGTCACTGAACCACCGTATTACTAACTTAACAACTGCAGTGTTTCGCTTAGCAACCGTGGCAAGAAAGATTGTAAAATGTGGCAAAAGTCACTTAACAACTGCCTTACTTAGCAACAGAAATGTTGGGCTCAATTGTGGTCGTAAGTCAAGGACTGCCTGTGCACCATTTCTGAATTGTAAGTAATAACCTTTGGAACACAAATCTTGAATAACCGTGTTGAGTCAGTGCACATCTCAGAAATGATTAGAAAACAGTATTTTGAAACTCATTTGCCAAGATCGCCCTCTGCCGCTCATTAAAAAGGCCATGTCATTTTTCAACCTGAAAACATGTGCTGCTTTAATGAGTTAGTTCATTAAAGCAGCTATGTTCTCTCTTTAGGCTTGATGATTAGTGTCTCACCAAATACAGAATCTCAAAATACAGAAAACTGTTTTTATGCAAAAAATATATATATATAAAAAAATGAGCACATAATTTGAAAGCGAATCACTATACTAAGGGAGTAAGACAAATGAAATAAAAAACAACAAAAATAGTTAACAGTAACATTCCACAAAACTTGTTTGATGAAACTTGGAAGAGATTTTTTTTTTGTATATGTAAAAAAAACCCAGTAATCTTCAAAACAGAAAAATAAATGCATTGTTTGTTTCAATTTGCAAGAGGAAAAGAAAATCAAAGTGAAGCAGATCTTATGAAGATATTCATCACAGTAGAATGGCTAACTATTTATCAACATTTTTCTTCAAATTATAAAATAGTAAAAGAGCACTGTAATTGTACTTTTTACACTTTCAAAAAGTCCTGAGTTTATAAAGCTCAAAATTCAGTTGTCAAAATTCACTATTCAAAATGATTTCTGGATAGGAAGAGAAAAAAAATATGTCCCAGATTCCGTGGTGTCAAAGAATACCAGATTTTGCAATCATATTATTTTCATAATTTTAATCTATAAAACAAGGATTTTTTTTCACAACTTGGTAATAACTTGAACTGATCCTATCAGTTAGAAACAAGTATTGTTTGTCTAATTCACATTTGTCTAATTAGCAGTGACTTGGGAGGAGTAAGGAGTCAGATTGATGGGAACAGGTTTGCTGGAAAGTCAGAGTGCAGTTCAGCCAATAACCTGGAAAGCTGTAGGTCCATATTTGTTTTGTCAAGCTATTCCCACAGTCAAAATCTTCTGAAGCGATCCAATTATCCAATGAACTCTCCAATTATCACCTAACCAATTAGATACTGGTACTCCTTGTCTTACGATTGTAATTCAACCCAAAAGTAAATTGTAAGTAATTGTGGTTGTACATGAGGCAGCAGGTGACCAGGCTCATTTTTTTGACAATTTTGTGATGGTTGTTAAGTGAGTGAAGCAGTTGTTAAGCAAATCAATTTTTCCCAATGGGTGTTTTTTTTTGCTGGAAACCGTAAGTAAATGCCAGAAACCACCAACAAAGTCACAAATCAGTCATGTGACCACAGATTCGGCAAACAGCCATATAGGTCAGCAGGTTGCTAAACACCCAAACTGTAATCACATGACTCTGGGTTTGTATGCATATGTGTATGTGTGTACACACATCTATCATAACTTTGAAATGGATTGTAAATAGCTTTCGAGGGGTCTATTGTAACTTCAAAAATGATCAATAGCTTTTGAGGGTCAGTTGTAACTTTAAATGGTTGCTAAAGGACCACTTGTAAGCCAAGGACTACCTGTATTCATCATCTCTTAAATAGAAACTGTGAATTTTTTTTCCATCACAAGAAGCAGAATTTTCAGTGTTAGTAGTATAATGTTTGATTGTTCATTGTGCCTTTAGTGATATTTCATCATACTGGGATCGCTTCAGAAGATTTTGACTGTGGGAATAGCTTGACAGAACAAATATGGACATACGGCTTTCCAGGTTATTGGCTGAACTGCACTGTCTCTACAGCAACCCTGTTTCCATCTATCTGACTCCTTATTCCTCCCAAGTCACTACTAGCTGCTCCTTCCTTGCAGTAATCTGTAAGCCATGAACATGCCTGTCATTTTGTTGAGCAACTAAGATTTGATGACTTCGGTGAGTTTCTGGAGATCAAGAGGAATGGCAGGAATTGTTTTTTTAAGCTTACACAGGTGATAACATTTTTGAGCTTTTATTACTCATTTTATGGTTTCTAATAATATTACTAGTCTCATGTTTTTAACTGTCTGATGTTAGCAGCCTGATGTCTTTGAAAAAAGCAGAACACACGTGCTAACGAACAAATGAACAATCTTACCAGCCTTCCAAATGGATATCTAGTTAAATCTTATCAGTTTTACTAGGAAGGAAAAAAAAATCCTAAGCATTAAGATACCTTTCAGATTTTATTGGGGTTCAAGGTAACATGGACTGTTTTGATCCACATTTCAAGACTTCCCAGTGAGACTTTTAAAATTTAAGTTTAAATTCTGAACAAATGTTAATAATGACTAATTTCATATAACCTTCCAATGTGCAATAATATACGGCACCAAATAATAAAAAGAAGTTCAAATTCCATATGGAACATTTTGCCTTATCTTTTCAATTCATAAATACATGTTAGTTTTTCTTCTGCAGTATATACCAAATAAATCCTGGTTTTCTGATTACCTGTATCCCACATCACATGTGTAAGATACATTAGAAAGGTACATCACACCATTCATGATATATTTTCCATTCTTTATTTCTTTTGGGAGGGGACATTGTACTAATTCACAAAACGGGGAAGAATGGTTCCATCTGCCGTTTGCTAGACATGTTGCTTCTGCTTCACCCACTAAAACGTATCCTTCATCACATCTGTAGGTAGAAAAAAATAGGTATAAATATATTTTGGTACATGACTGTTTCACAGTATTTCTCCTGATGTATTAGCTCAATTTCTCAAATGTAAAACTGCAAGTGGTTGGATCCCACCTACGGAGGCATGCAGAAGCCCTCCCCAACCTCCGTTCCTGGTGCAAACGGCTTGGAAGACCCCTCTGAGGCTTGGATCCAGCCATCGAAGCTCCTTTCTGGGTGCAAACGGCTTGAAGCAGTCCTCCAATGACTGGATCCAACCTATGGAGGCATGCAGAAGCCCCCCCCAATTTTCATTCCGGGAGCAGTGGCTGCGTGGCTCTGGAGTTGGGGGGGAAGCAGGAGGGAGGCACTGCAAACAGCGTGAGAATCCTCTGAGAAAGAGGATTGGTGCCTGAACTTGCACGATATTACAGGGGTTTCCATCAACTCTCCTGTCCCTCAAAAGCAGGACCCGCGGCAGAGAGGAGACAGATCTTTTCAAGGTAAATGAGTCTGGTGCAGCAAGAATCAAGGGGGGAAGCATGCGGTATCTTAGTGGATCGGGGAGGCCTTGGGGGCCTGTTCCATCAATAGCCCCTCATGGCCTTCCCCACCCTGAGATACCTCACGTGCACTTAATGAGCCATATGTGTTTTAACGAGCAAGGAAGTGATCTTGTTCGAGGTACGAGATTCACTCTACAAAAGTAGAGATTCACTCTACTTTTCGAGCTACAAGTGTAATGTGCAGGCTCCATTACACTGTAACTTGAGGACTACCTGTATTAATGTCCAGCTTCTTCCAAAATGCAAAATATGTGACTTGATAATTTCACAGAGAGAAGCAGATAGTTTTTTCAATAACAATATGCACTTCAGTATTTTCAGTACCACAGCCCAATCCACCTCACAGATTTGTTGTGGAGAAAATAGGAGAGGAAGATATGTTGGATATATTCCCTGCCTTGAGTTATTTGTACTCACAATAAAGGTGGGATATGAATAAATAAATACTTTGTAGTTATCTCTTATATAAATACATCACATATTTTATTAATTTTTTCCCTAATGATTATTATATATTTTCCATATTTGTTGCCAAGTAACGAGTTCCAGATATAATGATTTCCTACCTGAACGTTACTTTACTACCAAATGTAAATCTGGAGCCATCAATTGCACCATTTTTAGGGAGGGGTGGAACACCACAGGAAATAGCTTAAAGAAAAAAAAAGATTAAAACAATCATTTGGATTACGCAAAATTATGAAAAATATATTGCTATAGCATTGCTACACCCCCAAAAGGGAAATGGAAATCACACTAAATGTCAGTATTAAATAGCTGGAGAACAGAAAGATCTTATACTATTAGAAGGTAAATTTGGAACAAAAAGATATGTAGGTGGAACAGAAATTCAGAAAGAATTTCATTCTTATTGCATTTCTGGAATGCAACAGAGATGTCCAATATCCAATAGTTTTTACACAATTTCAGATAATGCTGGTGCTCCACTATCACTTCATTGAATGACTTAGGAATATTTCCCTTTCCTTTATGAGAAGCAATGGCTGTACAGCCATCTTAAGTGTGAATTATTGATACGTCTGCAACTAAATAATCACAACTGAAAACAGCACTGGAAGTCTCTATCAATAACAACATCTATTTAAGTTATAAACCCCAGTACTAGTACCTATGAAAGGAAATCTATGAACTCTTAAGTATCATGTTTAGGAACATTTTTTTCCTTATAAATAATATGTGAATTCCCTACCCCAGGCTGTCATGATTTCTATCTGTATCATAATAAGTATTCAAAACATACTGTAAGGACCCACCCCACTTTGCATCTTAAGAAGACAGAACTCTTGGAATAGTTCTTCCAACAGGAATCCTTTATTAAGAGAAAATGGTTGCAGGCATGCTAGACAGGACTTGGGGTCCAAGCTCTCCCATTCAAGGTTTTAAGGGGTTCCCCAGTAGTCCCACCAAATCAACCCCCCTTCCAGTGATAGTTTCAAGTATCACAATTCCACTCCCTTTCTTCTTTCTTCCGTCTGGATGGGGACTTCAGATAACTACATGAAAGGCAATTACTCTCCTTTGGTATGCTAACACTTCGAGGTTACAATAAACACACATTCAGCTCTTTGAAGTGTAAAGAAGGAAGTGAGGGCCATAAAGCCCCTTTGCTCTCCCCCTTCTCTCCCTCTTATGGCAGAATCCAGAGAAGGCAGAATTGGGAGTTTCTATATTTGATAATTTAAAGAGGAAATATAATTGGATTCTGACATCCGGCCCCTCTTAACAATAAGAGAGATCCACCTGAAAGAAAACGCAAGTAAAAATTTTAGTTAGGCTTGTTAGGATACTCTGTGTGAAACTTCTTCAATAGCTTCGGGGCTCTGACATGACGTTTATGGACCCACTCATTTTGTGAGGGAGGGAGGTGTTTCCAGGCACCTAGGTACTGAGTTGCTCCATGATATCTCCTAGAGTCAAGGAACTCTTTTATTTCGAAGTGTTGTTCGCCCTCCACCATGATTGGAGGTGTGGGGGGGGGATTTTTGGCCGTAGAGGTGACTGATGCTCTCTTTTCAGCAAGCTGCAATGAAAAATTGGATGTATTTGCCTGAGATTTTTGGGTAATTCTAATTCTACTGTTACTGGATTTATGATTCTTTTAATTGGAAAAGGTCCTATGTATTTTGGTCCAAGTTTTTTACAGGGCTGTAGGGACTTTAGGTATTTTGTAGATAAGTACACCATCTCTCCTATAATGAATGGTGTAGGCTAAACCCTTTTTTTATCGGCTTGTGTTTTGTAAGCCTGCCTAGCTTCATCTAGTGCTTTTCTGACTATTGGCCAGGTGTTTTGTAATTTTTCCATCCATTCTTTCAGCGAGGGGATCGTTGGTTCGTTTGGGGTTAATTCTGGCAGGGGGTTGAAACTTTGACCGGTGGCTATTTGAAAAGGAGTGTAACCTGTGCTGGAGTGGACTGCATTATTGTAGGCAACTTCTGCAAAGGGGAGTAAGTCCGCCCAATCGGTCTGCTGGAAACTAAGAAAACATCTTAAATATTGCTTAAGTACTGAGTTCATTTTTTCAGCCCCCCCATTTCCTTGAGGGTGGTGGCTAGATGTCAGTCCCTGAGTGGTTCCTAAGAGGGATAAAAATTCTTTCCAAAATGCAGACGTAAATTGCACCCCCCTGTCAGAGATGATGCGTTGGGGTGCCCCATGCAATCTGTAAATGTGTTGGATGAAAAGTTTTGCTAAGGCTTTTGCCGTGGGAATCTTTTGGCAAGGGATAAAGTGCACCTGTTTGGAAAACAAGTCGTGACCGTTCCAGACCACAGTATCCAATGCTTTTTGGCAATTCCACTATAAAATCCATGGCTATTATCGCCAGGGGGCGAGGGACTTGCCACTGTTGCCAATAGTCTGGCACTTTCCCCTTGCAACCTCTTGCTGTGGCACATTTAGGACAAATGGCTATATAACTTTCAATGTCCTCTTTTCGGGTCATGCCACCAAAATCGCCGTTTAATTAAATGTAAAGTTTTTACAAATCCAAAATGCCCTGCTGATTTTGTGTCATGGCAAAGGTGATGAAAGTACTCTTTGAGTGTTTGGTATATATAACTTTTCACCCTATCCAGGGCAACCCGTTTTCATGGTGCACCATTTTTGTTTTCTGGAAACCAATCATCTGTTTCCAAACTTTTTATGAATTCAATTCAAGTCTTGGCTGTCCAGTTGTGGTTTTAATTTGGCTTGGGTTCTTGTGGTTACGGGTGCTGCCAGTTGTGACTCTGCCATTATTGGTCTAGAGTCTGTGGTTCGTGCGCTGTTATATTGGGGCATGCGAGATAGTGCATCTGCCAGGAAGTTCTTTCTTCCTGGTAAATGTTTGAGCTTAAATTGGAATTGGTGAAAATGCTGGGACCAGCGGGCTTGTTTGGGAGTGAGTTTCCTGGAAGTTTTCAGGGCTTCCAAATTTTTGTGATCAGTCCACACCTGGAAGGGGATTTTGTTGCCTTCCAGGAACTGTCGCCATGTGAGTAATGCCCAACGTATACCATAAGCCTCCTTCTCCCATACGGGCCAGCGCTGTTCTGTTTCCGTGAGTTTCTTGGATGTATATGCACAGGGTTGCAATACTGCATCATCATTTTCTTGTAATAGCACAGCCCCCACTGCCACATCACTTGCATCTGCCTGTATTATGAAGGGTTTGTCCATGTCTGGGTGCCTTAGTACTGGTTCGGCAGAAAAACGTCTCTTTAGTCTCTCAAACGCTGCTTGGCACTCCATTGTCCATGTTAGTGGCCTGGCTTAGTTTTACTGAGGATGTTCCCTTCGTTTTAGTAGTTAGTGAGGGGCAAGGTATCTGTGCAAATGAGGAGCGATGAATGGCCGGTAAAAATTTGCAAAGCCCAGGAACTTTGTAGTGCTTATTGTGGGGGTGGTGCCCATTCTAATATGCTCTGAACCTTCTTGCTGGGCCATTTCAATGCCCTGTGGGGCTATGCGATAGCCTAGGTAGTCTATCCTTTCTGGTGGAATTAGCCCATCTTTGAGAGTTTTGGCATATCAGGTGGGCGGATGCAGCTTCTGTACAAAACCGCTCTGACAAGTTTGACGTGTTCTTCTTTATGTTTTCGGTTAAAGAAACGAATGTCATCCAAGTAAACAAGGACCCCCTTAAACAGGTGCTCCTTTAGAACGTCATTGATTAATTGCATAAAGACTGCAGGGCCCCCTTGTAATCCAAATGGCAAGACTTTGAATTGATAGCACCCCATGGGGCAGTTAAATGCAGTCTTCCATTCGTCCCCTTCCTTGATTCTCACTCGATAGTAAGCTTCCCTTAAGTCTAGTTTAGAAAAATTTTCCCTTTCGATAGGTGTGACAGCATGTCTTTCATGAGGGGCAGCGGGTCTAGGTTGCTTTCACTGATTGTATCGGGCCCTATAATCCACGCATAAACGTAAAGAGCCATCCTTCTTCTCTCTAAAAAGGACCGGGGCAGCCACTTTAGGCTTGGCTGGCTCAATGAACCCTATCTCCAGGTTTTTTTTTATAAATCTTTCCATTTCCTCCTTCTCCTTTGGGCTCATGGAGTATAATCTGGGCTTCGGGAGTTTTGCCCCAGGCTTGAATTCAATGGTACAGTCTGTGGGTTGGTGGGGGGGAAGCTCATTCGCCCTCTCCTCACTGAAGACTTCAGCAAGGTCCCTATATTCCTCTGGTCTTTCTGTTAATCTTTTTTCCTCTCCTATGGATGCTTTTTCTATTCTTGATTCTGGTAGCCTCTCTTGGGGTTTTAAGTCCATAGGGTCCCCCTTCGGGAATTTGATTTCTGTCGTCCTCCAATTTACCCAGGGGTTCCATTTTTTCAACCATTCCATCCCTAGAATCATTGGGCATTCAATACCTGGGGTCACCACAAACGTTAAGTCCTCTTCATGGTTGCCCAGGGAGAGATGTATTGGCAAAGTGGCTAGGGTAGCCGGCACCCCCCCTGCTATGGATCCATCTAGCTGGCCAAATGAGATTGGTTGTTCCAGTCTCCTGGATGGGATGCCCAGATTCCCCACTAGTGTTGGGCTAATGAGGCAGCGGGTACAGCCAGAGTCTATTAAGGCTTCACCTTCACAGCTTCGGGCATGGGGGGGATTAATATAGTCACTGTTTTGAAGATGGGTGTGATGCATCCACTTACCAGGGGTTCGCCCTCCGAGCTGTCATCTGAGGCATCCAACGGCCCTGTGGTGTAGGCTGGAGTCCTTTCCCCTTGGTGAGCAGAGGTGGGGGTTTCTTGCAATTTCCATCATTTCATGGCCGTTGGTTTTGGCTTAGCTGAATACTTTCCGGGTTTGTGATGGGGATTCTGTTTGGGTTGTGCTGGGGGGCCTTTGAGCGGCATTCTACCAGTCGATGCCATTCCTCTTCCGACACTTGAAACATCCATTTGCTTCTTGGCTGGTATCCAATGATTTCAACGGGTTGGTGTGTCAGATTCAGGGCGGGGGGCGGCGTCCATGTTTCCTCGGCGGTGCCTCTTCAATATGTCGATCTCTGCTTCCTCTGCAAAGACGTACCATTCCTCAAGTCGATGTGGGTCCCTCGGGGCAGGCAAAGCATTCATATAGATCATAGTTTAGTCCGTCTTTGAAATGGCCAAGGAGGATGTTTTCTGGCCAATTCAGTTTGCTGGCAATGGCCCGGAATTCTTGTGTATACTCGGCCAC